TGCCCCCTGCCCAGTGCCCCCTGCCCAGTGCCTGCCTTTGCTCATGTGACAGACACCTGACAGAGAGTGGAACTGAGGGCACTTGGCAGCTGCTTCTCAGGACTTGTCAGTGAGTTGCAGTTCTTAGAATATATCTGGGTTACCTGAAAAGCATTTGTGTTGGTGATGTCAAAATAAATAAATGTCTCAATGGCAGGAGTAGTTCTTCTACATATCTGGGAAAAAACATTTCTTAATTATTATTTAAAAGCTAGTAGGTTTTTTAAAATATATTGCATATTACCTAGGTTAACCTTCTCTTGCACACTTCTCTGACAAGTGGAAAGCTGAATTGGATGTGAACTGTGCCAAAATAAAAAAAAAATAAAATTAAAAGTGCCTTCGATGCTAGTAAAAAGCTGGTTGTTTTTAATATAGTCATGACTGCAGGCTGAAAAAAAAATATCTCAGAAATGGCATTTCAAGTACTGATAACCTGCCATACCTAGAGAGTCTTTAAATATAAATTACTGAATATATAATATGGGTTTTCCAAATACTGAGAAATAAGTAGTGCTGAAAAACCAGGTGCTAATCTTACGTACTTATATATGAATGTTTTTATTTTGGTTTTTTGGTTTGTTTTTTTTTTTACTGTTAACACTTAAACTAAAGGAGTTTTTATTCCATATATCAATAGTTAAAAGGTTAGTTCAAGTTTGGTTTTTTGTTGTTGACCAGAGCTGCGTTCGTAGCACATAGAAAAGTATGTCTTTTGTATTTTAAAATACTGGTTTTCAGCTGTAAAATTGAGTGAACTTTTTTAATAGTATGCTTGGGTAAACCCTGTTTTTGCCATCCCTGTTCTCCAGAAAACAGGAGTGAACCATACAGATAGGATCATAACTGTAAATTGAGTAATTTACAAATTGAGTGAAATGTTAACAATTGATACTAGTATCCCCAGGATTGTTTTGTTTTTTTCCCAGGATATAGTTTAAATGGGAAAAGATTGACAAGTTTTCTGTAAAAGGCCTGATGGGAAAGATCTCATTTTATCTTGAATCAGCTTATCTTGCCCATCTGTTTCATTTTCTGCCAGGTCAGTTAAATGCTCTGCCTTGCTGCAGGAGTGAGTGCTGGAGTCAGCCTAGGAGTTGGTTGGAAGTAGAGGGTGAAGCAGCGTCGTTATTTGTGACAGTAGTGTAGACACAACAGAGCCCAGTGGCCCTGGTGCCACACAACATCTTGAAATGGCTGAGACTTGACTGTTGCAGAGAAATGTGGTGATTCGTGTTTTTAAAATAGTTGCCACCACTTCAAAATTAGACTACAGTCTAGAAATAAGAAAATCTAGCAGAGTTAATTAGATTCTCTTAAGAGACAGGTGAATTTGTACATGCTTCTGAGGCTTATATGTGGTCATAAAAAGTTCTCCCAAGCATCCAAACAAATACTGTGCTATGTGACTAGCAGAAAAATCTCTGGAACCTTTAGACAGAAGCCATATTTATGAAGTGCCAGTCAGCACCTCCTTTTGTTTCACCTGCTAGCTTTTTGAGCTGAGCTGCTGTGTTTCAAGTCTTTAACTGAGTTCTTCTGCTGCTACTAGCAAACACTTTTCTTGTTGTAGATCGTCTTCTTCTGACTTGGAAGCTTATAATACCCTTTTTGCACTTGTTTACATTGTAACTGGTTTTCTGGCTTATGCTTAAGTTATCCTTAGTAGTGGTTAGTAATGTGTGTTTTCTGTTCTCATTGTTTGGAAGGAATTGAAGTGACACTCCTGTTCTTATTTTAATCATCCTTTGTTTGGTGGCACACTTCATATGGTAACAGAGGTGTAATCTAGAACTTGTAACCCATTTTTTAAGTTTCTTTGTTTTAGTATGGGATTATTGAAAAATTTCTGTGTACTTATAAGTGGGTGGAGGGTTGATGTTGGTATTTGCAGGGTTAGGTAGATTTTGGTCTAGGTGGTATGTGTGTTTAAACTTTGATAGATTGTTGTTGAGGATTTTGTAGCCATTTGGTTACCTCCAGCCTGAGAGCCAGGCCAGGAAGCCAAGAGCCTCTTCCCAGACCTCTGCTTTCAAATACAGAGCAGCAGTAAAAGCAGAGAAAAATAAGTCATATACAGGAATTTCTGCAAAACCTCTCTAAAATGTTGAACTGAAATCAGCTCAGAAATCTGAAAATAGTCACAACACACAGACTTCATTAAAAGGCACTTTATTTGTCAGTCAGGAGTGATCAGGTTTTAAGAGCAATGTATTTAATGAATTGTCTATATTTTCTGGCTTAAAAATGATGGGAACAGTGAAGGACTTGAGGAATGATTCTCTACTTGGGCTGCTGTCTAAAATGGCGTTTATGAAGAAGTAAATGGGCATACCTCAAGAAAAAACATTCCTATATTTGTTCCACTTGTAATGCATTAGCTAAAGGATTGTTTCATTGTATTCTGTGTTCATAAGTGTTGCTTCAGTCATGGTGTAAAACAGAAGCAGTCCTGGTTAGAAATATGTGTTATTCTAAAAGTGATAGCATCAGGACATGTTCAGTGTTCTTGGTGACAAGAGTATCAGAATTAGCTGCCCATTCACTGTGCAGCAGGAACAGGATCTGTGCCTGCATAAGCCTCAGTTAAATAATGGTGGTTGATACTGATTAGACAGGGCTTGCTTTGCGGGTGGAATTTGATACACAGTTTTTAAACACCTACTCAACCCAGTTAGTAGCTCTTTTTGAATAAAAGCTTTCAGAGTTCCTTGCCAACATGTTGGGACTCATACTTCAAAAATTTGAGCAGAAAGTTAATCATGTTTTGTTGGTGTATCTTAATTCATGAAGTCAAGAGCATGAAAATGAAAATTCACTTTGTTTCCTTTGCATGGTTTACAATTAGAGGTTATAGTTGGATTATAAAGGGTAAATTCTCATCAGTGCTTTGGAATTGTTGATAGTAGAGTATTAGGGTACATCAGAATAGTAAGAGATGCTGGATCAAAGAAGTCATTGTTATAAGCATGTTACTATGCTAAGCACTGTTGATGCGTAAGTGTTCGTTCTGCTGGTTTGTGATTAAAATATACTGAACAGGAATGACATTGTGGTGGCTTGTTAATAGTTTAGACTTGGGAGTTCAAAGTGAATTGTGTAGTACAAGTGCACATTGCAAGCTTAACCTCTGGATGTTCCTTAAGCAGCAGTATGCACTGGTCTTGAATATCAATGATAATTTTGTAGTCAGTATGTTTTATACAAAAGAGAAAATTTAGTTTAAAAAGTTTTCATTACGTTTTCATTACTGCCATAATCTCTTGAATATTTTTGTATCTTGTGCACAGTTTCCTTATGCCTGTAAAGGATATGAAATGTGCAAGTATAGAAGTTTCTTTGGTGTTTTGCGCTTTTTTTATTTCCAGTTCTGTTTCAAAGTTCTCCATTTACTTGGAAAGTAATCACTTGGAGAAATGTGGTTTGGGATGGGTACTTAAAGTAAAATTAAAGCTGATGCTTCTTGAAGAAAATTGAATTTATCTTTTCTCCATATAAATTTTTTCAACCATTTGATTCTTCTGTTAGTGGAAAAAATCTAATTGGAAACACAGGGATGGCTTGCAGTAATAGATGTTGGCTCCTGAAATGCCCTGGTAAATTACTTTAATTTCTTTAATGAGCATGAGTCTTAAAGATCAAGTAGTTGAATATTCTGCTATTCTTCAGAGACAGGGTTAAATAAACTGCTATTCTGAGCTAATTCAATTATTTACCTATTAAAATAGAATTTGTAGTAAGGTCTGAGATATCAGTGGTCCTCTTCATAAATGTTCACAAATACATCTAAAACTTAGATGGCTGCAGTTACTTGTTGCCTGTATGTATTGCTTTCTTATTACAGAATATATAAAGCTTTTTTTTGACACTCATTATTTAGATTTAGCATTCACTTGTTTGTTTGACCTTATGAAGACAGTTTGACAAGCAGGAGTAGCATCTTGGTTACCTGCTGTACTACAGAAGTCCTGGGCTTAAGAACACATCTGTTTGTGTTGTTTTAGTTCTTAGAAGGCATCTGCATAAATCTCATTTACTGTAGGCGGAATGTCAGGTGCATAGAGGATCCACAGATTTTATTCTTCCCTCACCTCTGGCAACCCACCTAGATCCCAGGCCATCACCCACTCAGGATGATTCATATGTAGGTCAGCAGCACTATAAATCTCTCTTTGCCAAGAAGTATGCACTGTTTAGGAATATTGGAGCTCACAAAATCAATGAAAAAATAAAAAAAAGCATTTTCTTCTGAGGCTGTCAGACTTGCAAATGAGCTGCCAGAGAGACCAAAAAGTCAATCACTGTTAGAATGTGGTATATGACACCTTTTCTTTTTGATGAACTTTTCCTTCTGAAACAGCATACATTTTTTTTTAAAAAATGCAAGCGTATAAAATTGCTTTTTGTAGAAAAGAAAATGTAAATACCCCAATCGTATTTGTAAGGGAGACTTTCCAAAAGTTTTTAAAATGCTTGAATAAAGGCACAGTGCAGAAAGAATAGAGGTTTAAAATACAAATACAAATGTGTAAAGTATTCTTGGGGCTGTTGTTGATCGGTTTCTGCCACTTATTTTTGTTTTTCCTGTGCTGTCTTCCCCGGGTAATTGGGATTCTCATGCTACCCACTTGGATGAAAAAAGACTGTATTTCAGCTGTAGTATCAGTACCTAGTTGTGGTAGGGGTGTGAAAAAAGTTATTTGGAGATAATGTCTGTGAAAATAATATTTGCCAGTTTTACCTAAGGAAACTGAGTCAGCAATTTTCTGGTCTTGGTAACTCCTTGACTCCTGATAGTGCTATTTGGCCATCAGCTGTGGGGTTTTTTAAAAATACTTTTCTTTATTTTGTTGATGTGTTTTTATGTAGAAGAATCTTTACAGTCAACATGTATTTCTAGATGCTGTGTTAAAATTGCTGGCAGAGTCTATTATTCTATACAAACTGAACAATCTGGCCCCTTGTTTTATTTATAAAGGTTCAATGTATCTTTGCCTGCCTACATCAATCTGCAAGGGAGTGTCAGAAAGGCCCCGCATTCGCCGAGCCGTGAGTTATCAATAACTTTTCAGATGTGTTAATGAATGTGGAACAAACGCAGTTATGTGTTTAAAAAAATAAAAGATCCACCTCCTAAAAAGGAAAAAAAAAACCAAAAAACAACAACAAAAAGAAGAGCAAAACTCTTTACTGCAGTAGCAGGCATGATTATACAGGAATTACTCTAAATTTTTAGTAGTGTAAGTATAACCAAGCAGTAAGGTTGCCCTCTAGAAAACCTATTGTTGAACTGCTTTGAAGCTCTTTGGTGTGTGGGCTACAGGTTTTACCTGTTGTATCCCGCAGGCAAATTAAGCACGTGTTGTTTATGAAAGCTTTTGCTTACTTAATAATCTGAAACATGGCCCATCTGAAAATGTTATATATTAGCATCCTGTACATAGAACAGATATTTAAAAATCTGATTACATAATAGTAAGAAAGGTTTGAATAAAAAGATACGGGGTTTTTATTCATTTCTGTTGTAGTTAACCTCATTAATGAATATGGCTTCTTGAAGTTTTGAGTTTCAAATCATGAAGCCATAAACAAACCTTTAATAATTGCAAAATGTATCTATACTCTTTTAAAATATTTGATGAAATGGAAGAGGCTGCTATCTGAGCTCACAGTATGTCACTTTTTCTCCCAGCAGCCCTTCTTGCTTCAGTAATTCACCAGTAGGTTTTCAAAGATAAGAGATCATATCAAATTATGTTTAAAAAAAAAAGGCTGCATCCTTAGAGAGATTAAGGTGTTTTATCATGCCTGTGTCTTAACAAGAAGAGAACCATTGCAGTGATCTCTCTTCTGAATTTCAAATGGTGGCAGTTATGTTATGACTCAAAGGAAAACATGTTCTGCCCTCATCCCCAGAATACCAGCTGGTTACCTTGTTCTGAAGACTTCAGGTCTTGCTCCGAGAAGGGGTTATTTAACCTTGCAATTGGACCTCAGTGTCTGGCCAGGTTGATGCTTCTGTTGATGCAGGAGCTGCAACCTGCCACAATGAAGATATAATTAAGATGATCCAGCCCAACAAACAGCATGTAGAAGGAAAAAAGAAAAAAGGTTTATCATATGGAGATATGCAAACACCTCTAAAATATTTTGCATATAGGCTATGCCCGTATGTTTGACTGATCTTTTTTTTCAGGTTTGTAAGCATTTAAATCATTCTTCTGCCAACTCTTTATGCTACTCCCATCAGATGTTAAAGGGTGCGTTGCATCCAAGAGCAAAATCATAAAATGAGTATCAGGTGGGATTTGGTGAAGACTCAATGTGTATCATTTTGTGTTTATGAGGCTGCTTTGATATGCTAATTCTTGCATAGAAATACGTCACTATTTCATGCAAAGTCTGAACAGAGCATTATATAGCTCATTTAACAAATGCTATTTTATCAAAGTGTTTTTAAGCTAATACTGTGTTTGTGGTTTCAAGCACTTTTCCTGCTGCATTTTTGACGGGGAAATGTGAGAGGATTTTTAAATAGCATTATAGAGCATTAAAACACACATTTGTGGTTCTGGTGTTATTTGACAAAAAAGCATAGTGTTTTGAGTTCTAGTTTCCATAGACCTTCAGTATGTGACAGGGCACTGTTAACGCTTTGCATGTAACCTGCAGAACATGTCTGACTACCGCGGATTTCTGACCTGGAATGTGCTGGTTTCTATATTGCAGGTGACACGACCCGTCAGCGAATCAAATTCAGTGATGACCGAGTGTGCAAGAGCCACCTTCTCAACTGCTGCCCTCATGATGTGCTCTCTGGAACTGTACGTAGCTAAATCTTGTGTTTTATTTAGATAAGTGGAGAAATTGAATTATATTTGTTTCTTGTGGTATTCCTTGAATTTCATGGTTTTCAGCGACTATCTAGCACTCTCTGGTAGTTCAGAGGAACTTTCATAAACAGCTAATTTATGGGTTCTGAAGTTAGTTTTTACAATTCTTCTGTTCTATATGCTAATGAGTAGCTAGATTTCATTGTTTACTATAACATGAAAAGCCGCAAAACATTACATACCTGAATTGCGCTATAGCAAAGTGGCCTTATAGTGGTAGAGTTGCAAGTAGTAGAAAGAAATAAAATACATTGTATGCATAAGTGACAAAGTTACTTTCTTTAAAAAGTGTGTTGTAGTGAGGAAGTATTCCACAGATGTATTTGTATGGAGAAGTACAGAGATTTTTCTTTTTCTCTCTTCCAGAAGCATTTTAATGAAAATAATTGAAAGTTCAAATAATTAAATTTCTGTAAGTTGAGATACCTTTAATATGATATTGACACTTACTATACAGTATCCAGTTACTGTGTCATTGTCATAAATTCTAAAGCAATTTTAGAATTGCAATTAAAATCTCCATTTATGGCATATTAGTTACTTGTTTGACTTGGACTTTTGAGCACTCTGTAGTAGAAGTTCCACTACCTGAGCATAGGAAACAAGGGGCTTTGACACATGCCAGTAGCTTGGTCAGTGTGCTTGTGCTTTACCTAGTGATCCATGTTTAAGGTATCTTATTTTTTGTGAAAGGCAGGTGAGTAATGTTTCATTGATTATTTAATCTAATTTTTGATGATAATAATAATACAGAGATACAGTATGATGATACACAGAGTCCCACATGCCTACTATTCTTGATGTTACTAGGGTAGCTTTTTTCACTGATGTAAAACATCAGTGAAATAACATAACATGTGATAACATTTTGTTACCCTTTGGCACTGGGGAAAATAAATACTGCAAAATCTGTCTGAAGGATTATTTGAGGTAGTATTGTGTATCAATGTATATATAGTTTTATTTTGAACTGTTTTGTGCATTGCTGTCCAAACAAAATGGGGGAAAAGGGAGAAAAATGTGTTTCTTTTCACCCATCTGTTATGTTGGATAGTGCTTTGATTGTGTGGTGAGCAAAAGAACTCCTCCTTGGGGGAGATTTGGGACATACTTTGTATGCTGGGACATACAAAGGCATTGGTCATAATCTACAAGAAGAAACTTGTCAAAGATTCGTTTGACAGCTTTTCATTGTGATCCAGTTTCTGTAAACAAAGATTTCTATAACAGCTGTAAGTAAAGAAATGTTTATCTTCAGAGCTATAAAAATCCTAGGTGTTGTGCAGTAGTGCCTCTTACACTGCAGGTCAGCCATGAAGGCTGGGGCAGCTGGCACAGTTTAAGTCCTCACTGGAAGTTTCCTTCAGCCTCATACCAGATTCTGCTGTGGCTCTTGGAATACAAAATCAGACTGCTTCTTTAGAGAACATAAGTATTTTCATTCCTTATGCAATTAGTCACTATGCCAGAAAATGTATTCCATGGTGTAAGTCTAGGAGCATAAAAGCAGTGACTAGTTTAATCCTTTCAGTGGGATTAGTAGAAAGGGGACTCAAAAGAGACAGGCTTTACCTGGGCTGTGTGATGTTCTGTGCTGTTTACCTGGTCACTGATCTGCAGGAATGGACCTTCTCTCTTAACAGCAGTTTTTGAAAGGGCAGGAGGCGTGGAGTCTAACTGAACAGTTTGTCACTGATTTAGAAAATTACTCTGAAGTTTTCTCTGTAGTTTTGATAGGAAGATCTTGATGCATCTTTGCATTCAAGACCTATAGTAACAAAAGTTGAGTGACTTTTTTTTTTTTTTTTTTTTTTAAATTCAAATCCCTGGATGTTCCTGCAAGAGTAAGTTCTCTGGGGACATTTTATGAGGTTAAGTTTCTAAAGTGACTAGATTATCAGTAAAATTCCGTGTATGAATTGTCTTTTTTTGTGTCACAAGATGATCTACAGTTCCTAGGCACTGTTTATTACTGTTCCTGTCTGCAAAATGCAGACTTCTATACATCTCTAGTCCACCCACTCTTTCAAAAGCACTCATGGAGGACATTCACAGATAACACAAGACAAAATGACTCATATGAGTAGGCCCTCTTATTTTAGTGTGTTCTTTCCCTTAATGACCAAATTCCCAAAACTGCAAAGGCTCTGATTTCCCTCAGCAATAAAAAACCATGTTACTCAGGTTGCAGTATGTATAGGCAAAGGTAGTGTGTGCATACTTTTTGTTTAGGGATTTTATTTATGGATATGTTTTTGTGCTACTAAGTTTCTGGATTTGTGCAGCTGGAAATTTCAAGTCAAGCAGCCTGAAGTGTCTGTCTAGTGGAGGTGATTTTGTGTTAATGATTGCTTGGACGCCAGTTCACATACGTCAGTATGTGAACCAGTCAGTGGTTTAAGAGTTTGCTCATTCATTTTGAGCTGAAAATTTTACAATGAGAAATTAGTAAGACTTTGTAAACCCTGGCAGATGAGACACTGAATAATTTTCTTATAGCTAGTGATTTTTGCTTTACAGGGTTGACACTGTTACTTTGACCTCTAATGATTGCCTATGATAAGGCTTGTGGAGTTTTTGGTTGTTTTGGTTTGGGGTGGGTTTTTGGTTGTGGGTGTTTGGATTTTTTTCTTTACAAAAATGCTTGTTTATCCATATTATGAGACTGGGGACTAAAGCTGCCTATGTAGGAGTCAGATCAGGAGTCCCCCATAATGGTACAAACCTGTTTAAGCACTGTTCTCTGGATGTAAGTACCGTCTGCAGGTTTTATAAGATGTGTGTGTTTCCTCTATCGTTGTATGTTTCTGAATGAATAGCCAAGTACAAATGAAAATGACAAGGTGGGAAGATCTAAAACTAATACCTTTAATAAGGCTATTATTAAGTAGCAATGCTCTGAATAGTTGTAACCCAATAGCTGTCTTGGAAAATCCCAGCACTTCTGCATTAATGTGGCTTTCTTACCAACCTGATGGTGCTTCCCTGATGAAAAGTTTCTCAAATACTGTACTTGGTTTGCAATGGTTCAGAAACTCCTATCTGCTCAGTGAATTAACTTTGTAGTCATGTGTATTTGTTGGGAAAAATTACTTCTTGCATTTTATTTGTTACAGATCTGAAGATAGGCTCTATTGGCTCCCCCTGCAGTTAAGCATATCTTTAGATGCTCCTAAATTTATTGCATGCAGCTCTTCGGGACTCTTACTGACTAAAAACACATATTAATCAAGACCTCAGTTTAGCAATATACTTGAATACATTATTTATTTTAATCTTATGAGGAGTGGAATTCAGCTCCAGATTAAGAAATCTAAATTTAGATTTCAGCTGAGGAGCTGGGTGTTGAAGCTTACACTGAAGTCAGAAGGTATCTAAGCAGTGAAGCCTAGAAAAATATGGAGTTCACGTGCTCATGGGTATCTCTCTCGGAGTGGGCCGAATCCATTTAGGCTCACTGAATATACAATCTGCATTTAAGATTGTATGTAAAAGAAGTTTAGATAGTTCACACACATGCAGATAGGTGTTAGTAAGGAGTTTTAATCTGTAGTTGGTTTATTTGTCAGTAGTCCCACTGGCTCTGGAGCTATTTATATGCTTAAAGCTTGTGGTTTGGGGTGTGACTGTGATTTTATGTTGTACTTCTAGAAAAAGCATTAGCAGCTGTTAAAAGGCATTGTGTCTGAGGGTATTAGCTTTTCAGTTCAGGACTGATTTAATCATGTGAACTGCTTCAGCTTAGGAAATCAAATTAAATTAGGCTTGCATAAGCTACCTCAGTTTGAAGCCTTCAACCCAGTGGTGATGAACAGTGCACTGTTGTCCTCAAGTGATCATGTCAGTCTCCTGAAATGTATTCTTAATTTCTTCGGCCAGCACCAGGAAGGTGAACTGGTTGTACCACATTCCATTTTAATGGATTTAATTTGGGACAGAGGGGGGTTTGTTAGTTTCTGCATGGTTATTACCCTCAGTTTTAATATATTTTATAGTCAGGCTATAACAACTACTGTGTAAACACTGAAATGTCTCATTTAATAATAAGAAAGACTGCTGCTAGTTTTCCTAGTGAAGATTTATTCTAAGAAGTTGAAGTCTTTAGAAGTGAGAGTGTGGTTACATGGAGAAAATACTTTTAAAAAGTATTATACTTCAGAAGATACCTAGAATTCAGTGGTTACTAAAGACTCAGCTTTAATTTCTGCATCTTTTTTGCTCAGCATTTCTTTCCTACTAGTGAAGTCCTACAAAAGTTAACTGTTAGTGGAGTCAGAGAACTTAAATCCCCTTCTAAATATGTGTTCCTTACAAGAAGGGATGGGCTTTATCACAAGCCTAGAAATCTGTTCAAAATATAATTGGTAGTGCAGATGAAGAATGAGTTCCGTAAGGAAGATTTCAGCAAAGAGTCTGTCTCCATCTTCTTTTTATCAGTAGGAGGTGTTCTCATACAGACCCTAGTAGTGCCTTGACAGTTTGGTAAAGGAAGAGGTCTGATTCCTCCAATATCAATTCTTCAGCGATGTCAGATCTTTCTGAGCAAACAAACAAAAAAATTTCTTCTCTTGCTGGATGTGAACTGCTTTGTTATCTTTATTTTTGAAAAGAAATATCTACATAAGCACTGCCCAGAGTATCTTCTTTCAAAAACATGTCAAAGATACCCACTGTTTTTGGAAGTATTTAATTTGTGCTACTGTGTCACACTTGGCTCAATGGCAGCCCTTTGTGTTTTAAGGCCCTTTAGCTTTTCTGTATTCTTTCTGTAGTCTGTATAGAGTATATTCAGTAATCAAATTTCTGATGTCAAAGGAACTTGTAGCAGTTGTAAAAGTGCCAAAATGAGAATTTTGTAGGTAGGTAGCTGAAGAACTAAAAAAAATGGGGGGATAAACCCCACCTTAATTTCATATTCCAGAAAGAACATTACATCGGAGTTTAGTTTCCTGTTCAATTATTTGACGGCTATTCAGATTGCACATTTATTTTGCATATAAACTCTACAGATTCTCTGTTCCCAGATCCTCAGTTACCTCTTCGTTGTCGACTCATACTTAATTCATGTGATTTTTATTTTTTTTTAACCTGGTTTGATTGAAGCATCACTATGCAAACAAAATGCATGTAATCCATATTTCTTCATTATACCAAAGGCATTCTATCTATTTTTTGGATGGGATGACAAAAATTGTTACCAAATCATTTCAATACAAAGTTTTTTGGGATGAAAGACCAATTTTCTAAACCTCAGCTCTGAGAAATCAAGTAGCTTTAATTGCTTATCTAACACTGAGAAATGAAAAAGTATTGCAGAAAACGGTCAGCAAATACTAGAAGGCACTAGTTTCTTAAGCTGAACTCAGCAATAACAAAAGGACTCCTGATACCCTGCTTTGTGGTTACCTAGACTAATCTTCACCAAAAACTTTCATTTGCAATAAAGAGTCTCCAAGGTTTCAATCTCAGTAAAAGTACAAAAAGTAAAAGTGCAAAAAGACCCAAAGCATGGCTTAGCTTACTCAATGAACTTTAGTTCTGTTCAGCTTGGGAACTTGGATATTTTCACCTTTCTTTATTTATGTTGTTAATCTGCACTGTAAATCACTTTTAAGTAGTGTGAGTCTGTCTGATTGTCATTGTATTGACAGTAAAAAACAGCGTAAGTTTGTTCCTTTTCAGCCTTCCATTAACTTGGTGTCTGAGCAGGAGTCTCTCTCTTAGCCATCTTCTGTTTCACATGGGATGGATCTTTAAATGGCAGACTACCAATACTTGTTCTTTGCGTTTGAGGGGAGGGCGTGTCTTGGCACCAAATTGCAAGGTGGACTTGTGGAAAAGGAAAATAATGTGTCTTCATGTATCTTGTCTGCTTTCATGTGCTGTCCATCTACTTTGCAGCTACCCATACAAGCCAAATTATACTACAAGCTGCTCTGTGCACGTTTAGGTTCTTGGCCATCAAGATCCAGCACAGACTTTTGACAGAAATGAATCATGCCCAAGATGACTTGTCTTTGCCTGATGTTGCATAACTTACACCAGCAGAAGTGCTTTTTAGCCTGTTTTTGCGTTTAATATGCAAACTTATTTAAGAATTTTAAATGTGGTGGGTTTTTTATATCTCTCTACATTAGGGTTTGCTAATGGAACTTTTATCAAAGACATTTCATGGTAATATTTCTGTGAAGGCTTTCAAAGGATTACCCAGGACTAGTGTAGGCTGTGTTAAGGAGTGGTTCCAGCAATGGAATTAATGGAATTAACTTCTTCAACAGTCAAAACTAATGATAAAGAATCCTTTTCTTTTGTACCTGCTTGTTCTTGCTCCTGTTATGCCACGTGAGTATTTATCGGGCTGCCTTCTTAGGTCAAAGGGGGAAATGGGAGGCAAAATTCCTTCTGTTGTGATTGAGCATCTAGCAGAAAAGAATCCTCTACAACATACTCCTTGTCCCCCAAAATTTCCACTGACATTACTGAAGGTTTTCAACAGCTTTTGAATTTGCCATCTTGATACTGGAAGAGACCACAGCTTCTTAAGTCCACTATTCTGTTGTCCCCTATTTTATATTGTCAGCACATTGTTTGTATGGCTGCCCATCAAATTGAACAAAAGTACACTGCTGGAAAATTTGCCTCTGTGTGTGGTTTCCTAAGATACTTTTTAGCCAGTCACTACCCAGACTTTGTTCAACACCACAGGCAGATGTGCCAGCATGGAGTGGCACAGCACAGGGATAAGGGAAGGACAGAATGTTTCTCAGTAGTAATGCTGGCTCAGACTAATTACCATCCTTTTGGGCTTTGGATTTACAATTCCCAGTAAGAGGCAAAGAAATTAGAAAATGTACTGTTTTCTGGAGGTTAAATCCAACCCAAATAGAGAGGAAAAACATAAAACCCATATAAAGTGAATAGCATGTCATGGTAGCGTTACATGAATTCTGGGAGTTTTTAGTGTGTGATGGAATTTCATTTCATGCATTTATTCGAACTGTATGCAGATTGCATCTTAAAATAGTGGGGGGTCTTGTGCTGTGGTGGATGTGTTCAGGATTTTTGTCACTATTCAGACCTATTGAAGTGTGTCACTGTCCTTATCTATGCATTTATAATGTAAGTGCCTCACTTGAAACAGAATTGGCCTTGAGTTCTACAGTTTTAGCCTTAAAGACCTTATTCAATACAAGAGCTGAATCAGCATAAAGTCAGTCTTTTCACAGCTTTAGGATAATTTTCAAGTGTCTAAATTTCAGATAATTTTTAAAAGTTCTTTCACACTGCACTCCCTGTATTGAAGTACTTTCCTGAAAAAATGCTTCAGTTTAACTAATGTCAGCATGGCCTGGAAAGAGACATCTATAAAACATTGCTCAGTTTCAAGGTCCTTGTGGATTTACAAGAGTTAACAAAATTGCTGAGGTCCTGTATAGTCACAAAAGGAAAAGCTAATCTTTTCCTTTATCATTGCAGTCACATGTTCCCTTTTGCAATCAAATGTTTTCCGGAAAACAGATTTATGGTGGCTGAAGGGTCTTTAAAGAATTGCAGTTTATATAAGACCTTTTTGAGTTCAGAATCCTTTATTTTACTCTTATGGTCTTTTTTCTTTATCTGCAACTTTTGTATAAAATAAACCAAAAGCTTCCATAAAAATTACTTTAATGGTTTCACTGGGAGTCTAAGTAAAAATTTGAAAATACTAAAATAATTGGGGTTTGTTTATTTTACAATACTTATGAGGCTTGGATTGTTTACTTAAATCCAAGTATTTTATTTGTTAAAAACAAGCAAACAAAAACCCATCAAAACCCTCACTCATTTAGCTTGCAGCACATTTTGAGTTGACATTCACCTTCTATTTACAAAACTCACAGTACAAGTTATTAAGTATTTTAGGTTTAGGTTTAAAATTGTTATTTAACTACAACAGTAACAACTTTTTCCATCAGAGTTCAATTTTCATCATGTGCTTTCAATGTTAAGAAAGGATTAATTCTCCTTAATATTAAGTGAGCAGTGCCAAGAGCAGACTTAACTGAAACTGTGCTGGTTTTAGGTGCTGTAAATAACAATCATTTCCAATGATTGTACATCAGCCTGTGCTTTTGCAGAGAGGCTGCTTTGGGTTTATTCAGTTTTGTTTCCATGAAAGATTGGTTGGGGGGCGTGGTTTAGGTTTTTTGTTTGGGGGTTTTTGGTGGGATTTATGGGAGGAGTTTTTTAATATGTTTTTTGTCAAGTGCATGTTGCTCTTGGTCACCAGGCTTAACATGAACAAAGTGAATTAGAATTTCTTATGCTGTCTCCTATGCAAAATTCAAAAATTTAAAAAAGGTAATTGTTACCCAAAAAGATTCTGGGCAGTTTCCTCAGTGGCATTGTATGCAAGATAAGTGATGCAGCCTACTTACATTTTATGTTCATTTTTCCTTCCTGCCAGTTCTAGGATGGTTTTAGATTACAAGTGAAATATCTGTACTTTTTATTCCCTGATTCTTGAACATAGTCTAACATTCAGCTCATCTTCCCTCATTTACAAATGTTTCGCAGGGATTTGGTTTTTGGTTATCTTACTTGAAATGCTTCAAGAATGTGTTTTAAGCAGCACTTACTTACAATGGTGCTGTGGTTGTAGCTCTTTCAGGTGATGAATATAACAGAAACACTTTATCATGGAGTGTGCAGACAGGTTCAGGTCAAGAATGTGACCATTTAATTGCTGGTTATTTTCATGGAACTTGGCTCTACTAAACCGTTTAAGTTCAATGCACGATGTTCCACTTCAGTCACATTTTTGAACTCCTAGTAAAACAGCATTTTTGCAGGGCATTAGTGATACTTTGTTACACAAACTATCATGATATGATAAGCTGTTCATTCTCTCTGCTGTTAGTATGTCTTGATTCATGCATGTCTGTCCTGGTATCATCCTACAGCTTCATTGAACTCTAATTATCACAGAGGAGATGACTTGCTTCAGAATATTTAACTGTTAAAGAAAATCATGCTAACCTTATTCCTTGTAACCCTTCTGAAAATTTAAACCACATTGCTTTTGTCTTTTCAGAGAATGGACCTTGGAGAATGCCTGAAAGTGCATGACCTGGCATTAAGGGCAGACTATGAAATAGCATCCAAAGATCAAGATTTCTTCTTTGAGCTTGATGTATGTATTTTGTCTTAGTGGTGGAGAGAAAGCATTAGTTTGTGTACTTAGGTGAAGAAACTGAGCAACAGATGTTAAGTTTTGGTACAGACTAAAAGGAAGACTTTTGAAAAGCAATTTTATGAAGAGGCAGAGAAACTCTTGGCACAATTACATGAAAGATTACTTGCCTCTTCATGATTATATGCTAATTTGGGTTGGTAGTCCTCTCTTGGGTAGAACTGTTGACAGCCTCTCAGAGTATGATAAAACCTGAGTGCTGTCTTAGTATTGTCAAATAGCAAGCTAATGTTAAAGCTTTGTGTGCTTTCAAGAAAGTTTTAAATTCTACACTTAACAAAGGAAGTAATTTGGTATTGGAGAATTGGTAACAAATCATATACTGTATCTCCATACACTGTAGTTTGTTTTGAACTCCCAGTTAGGAGGTTAGTCTTTGCTAGGACAAAAGGGTTTGGGTTTTTTAATTGTTACTTGGAGGGATGGTTCATATAACTACTTAAACCCTGGTGAAAAAAGTTTCACTATTGCATGGACTGGCTGGATGAAGTGATCCTGAATAGCTTTCCAAGAATTTTAATGCTGCTAGACTCTGCTACTTCTTCTTCATGACTTAAGACAGAACTTCACCTCCAAATTTCTGCAAATACTTGAAGCTAGGACAACGTGTAGACTATAATTCTTTAAATGGTTTGAATGTGTGTGATTAGTCAGCATAAACCAGTAGATTATTGTTTCACTAATCACTAATAAAAACTTGTGAAAGTGAAGCCTTAATAAACTGAGGAAGCCTTACAGCTGATGAAATATTTATATTCTTGACAGCATTCATCCTTGTTCTTACTGTTGTTTTAGGCAATGGACCACCTGCAGTCGTTTATTGCAGACTGTGACCGGCGAACGGAAGTGGCTAAGAAAAGACTAGCAGAAACCCAAGAGGAGATCAGTGCTGAAGTTGCAGCTAAAGTAAGCATGTCAGATGAGTTACTGCTGTCTTTTTGGAGGCCAGTTTTTCCAAGGAGCCAGCTTCAAGTTTTGAAAATATATAAAATCTGAGAAGTCATATTGAAGATGGGGGGGAAAAGTAATACATGTTCTCTGTCCTTCCTAAAAACCTTTAGGGCATAGAAGAGAACAGAGGGAAGAGACCTCCCTGGTATTTTTTACCTCAGGAAATTTGACTCTGAATCTGTGCTATAGAAATGTTAGTAGTTCTTACACTTTTTAATCCAAACTTCACCTATAAAGCAAACAAAATAAATGTCCTTTTCTCTGTATCTTTTTTGAATAAAAAAGAAACAAACCTATAATTTTTCTGCCCATATATGCAAATTCTAGGAGGAATGGCTGTACAAATAATTATTTTTCAAGACTGGTGTAGATAACAGTGTGAATTACTTGAAGTTTTCTGAAAAAAATCCTTTTCTGGAATTCTACATTGACTTGGTAATTCAGCCTTTTTCTGTGATTTTTGCAGAGAGGCATTTTCTGTTTCACTTCTAACAGGAGAAGTTCTTGCTGTGTGTTTCTTTTAATTCTGTCCTTCCAATTTTGCATGTCGTAACTCACTCAGTAGTACTTCAGATGATCCTCCATAATTAAAAGTATTTCCTGTGTTAAGCCTTTCCTTGTCTTTCAAGGCTGAAAGAGTTCACGAATTGAATGAAGAAATTGGGAAACTGTTGGCCAAAGTAGAACAGCTCGGAGCTGATGGGAATGTGGAAGAATCTCAAAAAGTAATGGATGAAGTGGAGAAGGCTCGGGTAAAGAAGAGAGAAGCAGAAGTAAGTTGAGATTGTGTACGGAGGTGGGCATGGAGAGGTCAGGGTCAAATACTAAATTGTTTGGCCTGTAAGGGAAGACATCTTACCTCTGTCAATTCCTTAGCTAACTGCTACATATAAAATGGAAAAAATTGCTTTGTGGCATCCTGTACAGGTTAAAGTTCCTACCCTAAATACACTCCTATACCATTAAAATCATACTTCCTTCCACAAATGATGCATTTATCTTGGCTGTATTAGCCAGCTGTATCTGTGGACACTACCTTTGTGGCTGTGATGGTTGCACTGACTTACCTGGTTTGGTCTCACAGCTCTTGCTGTGGCAGCTCTGTTATAACCTCATGCTGTAAAGCTTTGCCATGTTGGATCCATTGTCTTCACTAAAAGAGACTTCATGTCTTGTGTATCAGGAGAGTCAAAATGATCCTTGTAATGTTCAGGTGACAGAACTCTCCAAGAACTTTTCCATATGGGATTACACAAAGATACTGAAATTTCTAGAAATCAGTATCTGCAGTTCTTTCAATAGTACCAGAAGGATTGCTGGCAGTCTTGCTGGTCTGTTATCTGAATGTCTTTAGGTAAATTTTGCTCAGATAATGTGTTTAATTAGTATCTAAAATACAGATAGATTTCTCAGGAAACTAACACTGTTTTAAATGGGGTTCAGAATTCAAACTGGTGTCATATTTTCATAATACATCAACACAGTAATCATAGTGTTAATGTGGATTCATTGTCATACATGAAAAAATTGATCATCCTTCTATGTAATATGATTTTAAGGTAGTAATTACCCAAATTATTTTTTTTTCCTAATTTGTAAAACCAGTTGTTGAGTTCTTGCTTTTTAAATATGTCCAGTTTTCAAAATAAGGAAACATGCCTTGTATCTTAGTGAGACAGTTGATGTATGAAGAAGGTGAATTAACAAAAGGGTGTTCTGGTGTACATGGCATTTAGTTATTTGTAGTGTATCTTCGGTAAAGTGTCATCTTTGTGCTTATGTGCACTTTGAAATAACAGCAAATGTTTTTCTTTTCTAGGAAGTATACAGGAATTCTATGCCTGCATCTAGCTTTCAGCAGCAGAAGCTAAGGGTTTGTGAAGTGTGCTCGGCTTATCTTGGTCTTCACGACAATGACCGACGACTTGCTGATCACTTTGGAGGAAAACTACATTTGGGATTTATTGAAATAAGAGAGAAACTTGAGGAACTCAGGGTAAATCATTCTTACATTTTTTGTGTGTGCTGCTACTTAATTATTTGCCAGGCAGCCTTAATGGAATAATTCTTTCTCTGTGTGTAAATTTTTTTCATATCACTTTAAACTTTTGGATTTAATTAGCCTAAAAACTCTACAAACATTCTAATTTAGCATCAATTACCTCAACAGATTTGTAAGATGACCTCTTTTGCACTGAGGTAGATTAAAACATGCATTCAAAGTAATGCATCTTGGGAACAAAGAACTTGAATTTCCTTGTAAAATGGAGACCTGTATTTTGAATGAACAGCAGCAATATTGAAACACGCTTAGCAGTCATAGGAGATAGCCAAATGAACTTTGCTTTTAGCCACATGATTGACTAAAAGTAATAAAGAGACCCTTGAAAATACAAGAGCAATACTGTATATATGTAGTAAGGAGGATGATAACACTTGGAAAAGTTTCCCAAAAAATGTAAAGAAATGCTTGGAACTCAAAACAACCTGCTGTGTGGTGAATGACTAAAATTCAATTTGTTTATTTTACCTGAGCAAAGATTAGGAAATTACTTTGAATAGAATCCAACAACTCAAGGCTCTAGTTATCCAAAGTGGGAATACCAAATTATGTATATCTTGAAGTCAGAAATAATGGTTATGGGGAGGTTGCATGTTCTCTATAGCTTGAACATTTGAATACAGTTGGAATATTATAACCTATCTTGACCAGAAAATCATATGCTGGAAGAAAGATTTACTGGAATTATATTCTGGGCTTCTAGTTTTCAAGAGGATGGATTTTGAACAGTGATACCATTTATGACATTAATTTACAAATTAGGGAGTTCACAGCTCAATTAAGCATTTTAACTGTAGAAATCACTAAAGGTAGTAAGTAAATTGGTTGAAGTCCTAAGAGCAGAAATTGCTGCTGCTGGATTTGAATAAATGGACTTGGTTCTTTAATATTCCAGCTGTCTTGCATGCATACTGTGACTTACCCTTTGGAGAGCCCAGCTCTTCCTGTTGATGATGTTGGCAATTTAGGCTCCTAACTATAACTGGTGTAACTTAAATCTTAGATGCCTAGAACAGATCATGTGTGCTTCCTCTCATCCCTCCATGAAATTATGCAAAGAGTCACATGAACAAGAAACCTTGCTTGTAGTTAGATTGCTGATGTTGTACAAGGAAATACAGATATAATTTGATGTAAAGGGTTGAAATAACTAATTATTTACACCATTTGGAACAAAATATGCATGGATGACTATTTCACATTCCCAAAGCATCTATAAATTAATCTTTCAAAGTGCTTTGCTAATAAAGAAAGAAAACAATAACTATCCCCTCCTTCCTCAGAGCTCTCCTCAGAGATCTAATCAAGATGCTGCTGGGGCAATTCCACCTCTCAGAAGAAGGTCTTTACAAAGAGTTGAATTTCTTGCATCATGTCCAGAAGGTGGCAAGACTTGGGTTTGGCCAGATCTCCAGTTGTGAGTTCCACATCTGAGGGCCCTCTACTGAGCGTGCCTTGTCCCCAGTAGTAGTGAGTTCACCCTGGGGGCTATCAGCTGAAGCATCTGCTCTAACTTTGTCCCACAGTCATAATACAGAAACAAGTAGCCTCAAAACTTACATGTTGGCCCAACCAAGTCCTCTAAGAAACAATTAACTCTCCCAATTCTGATTCCTTTCTGTCTTTTCCCAGGCCAAAATATGATAGGATTGGCATGGAAACTCTCATATTAAAGGCATGACTTACTGTTCTGAAGTCCCCTTTATTAAAAACTTAAATATTTAATTCTGCATATTTCAGGTCTTCGTGTAACACCCACGTGCAGCTCTTCTGCAATAACTTCTTTTTCTTCAAGAAAAAAAAAAATAAACTATATGTACATATACTGAGGAAGAGAGCGGGAATAATATACACAAGGGAAAGGGGATATGCCTGAGGGGAAGAACTGAATGTTAACTATCTAGATTATTTTTATAGCACCTTCATGTGAGATATTTTTTAATACAACAAAATATATGCTTTTGCTTTCAGAGGATTGTGGCTGATAAACAGGAGAAACGAAATCAGGAACGCCTGAAACGTAGAGAGGAGAGGGAAAGAGAAGAAAGGGAGAAACTAAGGAGGTAGGGATCTGTTTGAATTGCATGTACATTATGACCTATTTATGTTGAATAAGAAAACTCTGATATAGTTCATACACGTTTCTAAATTTGCAGAATTACAGTAGTTTGCATTCCTTGGGAATCTAGAATGATTGGGATGGAATTTCATTCTAAATCTTAGAACATGGAATTGGTCTCATAGAAAGCCTTTTTAAAAACTACTAATAGTATTGTCTCTACATATTTGAACAAAGGGCCTTTAAGTGACATAATTTTCAGGTGTGTACCTTGTTTGGAGACCTGACAGATGTGAGCTTAGACATGTGAGCTCCGTACATCTCTTAGCAATTTTCTTCAGAGATGTTAGAAATTTTCTTTATTTGAAGTAGTTGAGTGTATGATTAAGGAAAGCAGTTCCCTGTTCTTCTGTGAAATAGTAGCTTCCTGGCCTGGTGGGGCTGGAGTGGAATGGAACCTGAGCTGCAGTTCTCTCAATACATTAAGTTTCTGAGGTTAACAGTGTGAATTTCTGAAATCTGTTGCAGTTTGGTTCTATTTGCCTATTGGGAAATAAGGCGATACTGACTTTTCAACTGTAAGCTTTTTTTGTGGGAGGGATGTGAGTTAAAAAGGTGGTTAGATAATCTTCTGGGCTTCTAGTGGATTAGCCTCAAGAATAAATTTTAAAAAATGCAACCAACACGAAACAGTGATGTATTTCCTGATAAATCTGTTACAAAGATGTTGACATCAAATAAAAGGCCTTTAAGTACTTGCTACTAAAACAAGAAATGCAAGAACAGGTCAACTAGTCTGGTTTATTATTACTAAATTGCACTTTATTTGATAGTGAGGTTCTCTTAAGAAAAATTACTATTTTCCATTTATTTCAGGTCCAGATCCCACAGCAAGCATGCCAAAAGGTATATAAATCTGCAGACAAGGAATACCAGCGGTGAAGTTAGCCTTTCACGAGCTGGAACTTTTTAAGTCTGTGTAGTGCTGTTAGTTTAAGATGTCCATCTTTACAAACAAAGCTTTCTGTTACATAGTCATCTCTCTGTGTGTTTGTACACTATTTATCACCATCCTGCTGAGTTTATACATCTGCATCTATTTTGTGTGGCTGTTACAATGCAGCTTCGTGTCCCAAGTAGCACTTAAAACACAGAGAATTGCTTCTTCTTTACAAAAGCTTCTGGCTAATACCTTTTGGTGATAGCCCATGTGTTTTAAATCCCTAAGCACCAGATAGCTCATCAGATCACCCATTAATACAATGAGTGTCCTTTCAAATCTGCACAGTTGAAGGTCACCACTGAGGTATGATTGCAAAATGATTTGGGGGAAAAAATAAAAAAAAAAATAATCAGAAAATACCAAATTTGTGTAGTGTTTAGAACCTTCCAGATAAGTTTTGTTGTAGCTATGGGGAACAATATAGTCCAGTTTTTAAAGAACATCATAACACATAGATTCTGGTGGATGATCCCTGTCACTGCATCATTAAGTTCTTCTTTGCCTGATAAAGACACTAGTTTAAAATATAAAGAAGTAGATTTTTTTCATATTTTTATTTGCTTTCAGGAGCTTCAATTGGCTGTGCTGTAACCATACAGTCATGAATAACCTCTAAAATTGTCTGCATTAGTCAAAAAGGAATTTGTAGCCTTTCTAATGTTGCTTTCCCCTGTTGGCCTGTGAATCAGACACTGCAACGACTTGGAACACTGCAGGCCATTCTCTATACAGATCTGCTTACACATAGCGTGCATCATGCTCACAGTGTACTGGTGAGAGCAGTGTGTGCTGTAAGCCCTCTCTGTTCCTAGATCTAGGTCCCGAGATCGCCGCAGACACCGCTCTCGCTCAGCCTCGCGGGAACGGAAGAGAAGGACTCGCTCCAAATCCCGTGAGAAACGTCACCGCCACAGGTCCCGTTCCACCAGCCGCAGCCGGAGCCGCAGCCATCATAGAAGCAGGCACAGCTCCAGGGAGAGGAGCCGAGAACGCAGCTCCAAAAAGAGGTGAACCTTGCCCTAGAAATAAATGACTTTTCCTAACACACAGTGAGAATTTTCACACTAAATTAAGTTTATGCTTACTTATTAATTTCTTGCTTTGTAATTACTTTGTAATGTCAACACATTTTGAGCCTGTCTCAGAGTTCAGTTACAACTTCAGCATATTTATGATTTGACAGACCAGAGTGACTTATTCTCTATTTTTTTTATTTAACAGTAACAGGGTTATATATGATTTCTGTTTTGGATGAGTGCTACATAGCATTGTTGTCAAGTTCGTAATACCAGTTTCGTGCAGCATAGAAAGTGAAACAGCTGATTTTCATTTGAACACAGTCATCCTACTGTCAATACATTCAGGTTTTGCTTTGGGCTCTTGTTCACAACACCAGAGCCCATCTGTTGAGAACTGCACCAGATAAATGTAAGTTTAGGTATGCCTGAAAGTAAACTTTGCACTGCATCTGAAGATTGTGCTTTGCAAGGACCTCTCATGGAATGATTACTGCAGGGGGCAGGCTGGGACTGTTGCTTTTGAATGATTAAGTTGCTGTCTGCTCCTGAGGACTGGCTGGCTTGTTTTACATGAATGAGGTGAGCATAATGTAAAAGAGTTGGGATTGCACAACAAGGTATTTGGTAGGGAGGTGTGCTTCTGTTTCTTGTATAGGTTACTTACTGTGGCATACTTCAAGAGCAGTACAGTGAAAGAGTGCCCACTCTTAAAACCTTGAGACTGTTGACCTGCAAGAAGATAAAATGTTTTGAAGTGGCCACACATGCAGGGCTTATAGTTCAAACTATTTCAGGACATAAATCACTGTTACTTCTGCAGGGGACTTGGGCACAAGATACTTGATAAACAGTTGTACTAGCTCCAGGATGAAGCCCTTACTTGGCATGTAGCTTCTCTTATTCTGGGACGTGTAGTTTGTGTAATAGGGTAATGCCTGTGGATCGCTGTTTTTGCAAGTACTAAGTCTTGCAAAACACTACATTTTAGGGAAAGTAATCTTGTCACATGAGCAACTAACGTGAAAGGTCACATCTTTGTGAGCTTACAAAAGGAAATTAGTAGAGGAGCATTTTGAAGACCATAGTTTAGAAGCATGGAGGTGAAGTGGCAGTAACTTTCTGTAAGTAGAGGGAGTACAGTCTCACTGTGCAGAGTACCAAATTTTTCAACTAGGAAATAATTGGCTAGCTGTTAAGATTTTTCTGTAAAAGTCTGTATTAGAACATTTTGTGACTGCAGTACATGGTAAAATACAGATGGAATGTTTTTCAAAAACAGACCTAAGTGCATCTGGAAGAGAATATAGAGGAGGATGTCTAATCCATTCTTCTCCCATATGGGTAGCTAATTTAGTTTAAAACTACATAGTTTGTTTAGCAAAACAGGTCTTTTCTGTCTCCATCGTAAAGGTTTTGAAAATGCCTATTTATCAGAGTAAAATATCTAAAAAGAACATTACCCCAACCTTTCCAAGTCACACAAGGGTTAATTCTTACAACAAAATATGGTTGTAGAACAGATTGCGGTTTTGGTTTGTATCTGTCATACAGAGCCTCCCTTCACGAATTACTCAAGTTAATTTCCCCCTACTTTGAAGCAAACTCATGTTTTAAATGTGTTTTTTAAGTTTGTAATTTATAGTTGGAGAAAGGCTACACTGTTCTTAAACTAGAGACTACGGATGAGAAACTTTTGCTCAACTCCAATTACTCCAGACTTGGAGGTGGAGGCTGAAAGAGATGTAGTAAAGCACATTGTGCTTAATCTGGGCTCTGTAGTAAATGTAGATTAAATCCTACCTCAACGTACTTGTCTTTTGAAGTGGCAAGTAGGAAAGGGAGAAGAGTAGAATGATTTGATGTCTTCTCATATGCTTCTGTTCATGTAAATCTAAAACTGGGTTGGAAAAGGAAGAAAACTATAAAATCTAAGTGCTGTTTGATAGCTATCAATTCATGTCTAACTTGAATTCTCAAATACACTGCACTTTTCAGATCCTCTAAAGAAAGATCTTCCAGAGACAAAGAGCGTTCAAGGGATCGCGATAGAACATCCCGTGATAAAGACAGAAGCTCGAGGGAGAGGTCGCCGCGGGATTTCAAAGACAAGAAACGTTCGTACGAAAGCGCTAACGGCCGATCGGAAGAGCCGAGGAGCTCAGAGGAGCGTGAAGCAGGGGAGATATAACTGGCTGTATATTGACCTGATCTCTAGCTTCCTATGGAGTTGCATACTTTGGTTTAGTTTACAGTTGTTCAAAGGGACACCAGTGAGCAGTTCCAACACTGATCCTACTAGGGTAGATGTACAGTATATAAAAGTGGTTATGACAAAGTCAGAATTAAATCCCATGAAGTAATGATGCCTAAAGCTGGGTCCTGGACTTCCATCAAGTTGTAAAACTTTTCTGAAAAATTTCTCTTTATTCAGGACAACAGTTTTATGTACCAAGATGCAGATCTCAATGTTTTTAATCTCCTTTCCAATACAAGTTAGTGAACAAATTATATTGTACTACTTGCCTTGGGTGCTTTTGAACCTTTATAAATTCTCCAATTCTGCTCCAGTCAAAACAGCAGCATTGAAAGGTTGTATTTGGGGGGATTTTTTTTTTTTTTTGTTTGCTTTTTTGTAAGAGGGTGGGTGGATGGATATTACCTTTTACTCTGTTCTCAGTGTTGGGTTTTATTTTTGTTTGGGATCCTAGGAGTTGATTACAGTGGGAGCATTTAGACAGGAACGTGTGCTGGAGAAAGCGGAAATGTCTTTTTACAGTGCCTATTTAGACTTGGAAATTGAACAGCTGTTGCATTACATCTTTTTTATTTCTACTTAAATTTTGAAATCAAAGCCAGTCCCATATCTGTACCATTTGATTGGTATGTGTTCAATATATTTGTTTTTTTCCATAAGGACTCTTTCTGCTTTTTCTTGTGGAGTACATCTTCAATTGTATTAAAACAAACAAACAAAAAAAACCAGCAACAACAAACAAAAATTAAGAACAAAAGAAATAAAAAAAATTAAAATGAAACCATATTGTCCAATAACTTAACAAGGATATACTGGTCTCTTAAGGTGGTTAACTAGCAGTTCAGTCTTTTAAAAAATATCTGATTATTAGAGTTTTAAACATACAAATATGTGTTAGGATAAGCAGTCATTCCGCTTACAATCCTGATTATTCTAAAATCTTCAAAAGCAGAAACATGTAGAGTCAATCATAGAACAGTTTGGGTTGGAAGGGACATTAAAGACCATCCAGTTTCAACTCCCTTACTGCAGTCAAGGACCCCTTTCTCTGGACCAGGTTGCTCACAGCCCCATCCAGCCTGGCTTTGTACACTTCCAAGGACAGGGCATCCACAACTTCTGTGGACAACCCTCAGCACTCTCACTGCAAAGAATTGATTCCTAATATCCAGTCTTAATCTACCCTCTTTCACTTTAAAGCCATTCCCCCTTGTCCTGTCACTACATATACCCTTGTAAAAAGTTCCTCTCCAGTTGTAGGCTCCCTTTAGGTACTACAATATGCTATTAATATAAGGTCTCACCAGAGCCTTTTCTTCAGGCTGAACAATCTGAACTCTGGCAGCTTTTCCTTATAGGAGAGGTGCTCAGTCCCTCTGGTCATCTTTGTAGCCTCCTGTAGGCCCACTCCAATAGGTCCATGTCCTTCCTCTGCTGAGGATCCCAGAGCTGGAAGCAGGTGGGGTCAGTGGGGTCCCACCAGAGCAAAGGAGAGGGGCAGAATCCCTTCTCTCACCCTGCTGCTCACACTACTTTGGGTGCAGGTTTGGCTGTGAGTGCACATTGATGGGTCATGTGCAGCCCCTCATTCATCCCAAGTCCTTCTTACCAGGGCTGCTCTCCATCTGTTTGTCCTTCAGCCTGGGTTTGTGCTTGGGATTGCCCTCACCAGGTGCAGCACCTTGCACTTGGCCTTGTTGAACTTCTTGAGCTTAGCACAGACTCATCCCTCAAGCCTGTTGAGATCCCTGTGGATGGTATCCCTTTCCTCCAGTGTGTTGACTGCACCAGCTCGCTGAGGGTGCCCTTGATCCAAGTCCATGTTGCTGACAAAACACAAAGGGGTTGCTGTCCAGTCTGTTGGATTGAACATTCTTTGGGATATTTAAACTACTCTGATATGCCCTACTCCCACATAGAATTTAGATACTGGTACATTTTCCTCCTTGTGATCACATCACCGAGTTACCTAATAATGATGCTTAAGAGCAGCGTTTGTAATGATTCATTGGCGTTTCCAGCAGGACCTTTACACTTCTGCAAGGACTTGGATCCAGCATTGCACATTCCACTTTGAATTCATATCATTTTAAGCTCCCAAAGTGATGATGACTAACTACTTAACCCTTTCATTTATTCATTTATTCATTTGTCCATTTGAATTCTGAGTATGAGTTTCCTTCCTGGGGTTGTTTCTTGAGTTTGTGGATGGCTCAGGTGCTTGATGAATGGAAGTTAGGAGTGTTTTGTCCATCTGGTACAGCAGAGTGTAAGTGCTTGGTAACATTGATTGTCACGTAGTTGTTAATGGGATTCTAGTGGTGTGACAAAAGGTGAGCAGTCAGTTCTAGATATATCTTACATAGCACCAGTGCCAGTGATTCCTTTGGAATTCTTTTCTGGAATAATGATATTCCAGAAATAATGAGGACCTGTCTCCCCCTGCAGCCAGCAGTGGGAAATTTTGTATTGTAAAAAGGGGGAGGAAGGGAGGGTGGATGACATTTGCATACTGTGACTAAAAAGTGCCTAGACTCCACACTAGCAAATTCTCAACAATATGCCATTCATTTTACAAATGGCTTTTAAATTTAATTACAAAAGGGTGATTGGGTTTGGGCCTTCCCTTACATAGAGGAAGTACCAGACTAAATGTTAAGCAAGAAGGTAAGGCTTATCTCTGATTCCCTCATAAAATAATCTGAATTACTTGTGGAAATTCAGGACTGAAGTGCAGTTGGGAAGAAAAGATGACTGATGAAACACATTTAGGATGCAAAAGATTTGGAGCATCGATATCGGAAGAGAAGAATTGTACCTAAATATGGATCTTCCACACATCAGAACCCAATGACCTTCATTTCCAGGAGTGTAAAATTGAGGTATTCATCACATGTAAATTTCCTGCTGCACAGCTGAAGAGTGTTATGGACTGACCTTAGTCTTCATGGTTAAACAGATAATGAAATGGAGCCCTTGAGGGAACCTAGTGATGCTGTAGCTCAGGATCAGCTTTTGAGATCTTGGAAATTTTGCTGATGCAGTTGTAGCTCCATAGCAATTCTATCAAACTGAAGATGTACAATATGAGCAGAAAAAGTAAATTACTTAACTGATGTAAAGTGTTTGAACTGCAGTGAACCTACAAGCATCATTCCCATATCTCATAATCAGTCCAGATTACTCAGGGGAGTGCAAAGCAGAAAGGTTAAGATGAGAAGGACTTGGAGGGTGGCACATTAGCAGAAAAGAGATCCTCTCCTGAACATGGAATCATCAAATTGGTTACCTTGAAAAAGCCCCTCAAGATCATCAGATCCATTCATTAACCCAGCACTGCCCAGGCCACCACAAAACCACGTCCCTAAGTGCACATCTTCATACCTTCTAAATACCCCCAAGGATGGCAACTTGGCCACTTCCCTGGGCAGTCTGGCCTAGTGACGCACAGCCTGTGTTGCTTTTCCCACTGCAGCAGGAGGAACCACACAGTAAAATGGTAACATTTCCAAGCAGAGGTGCTTGGCCTCGTGTCACTGTATCCCATCACACAAGGTAAGACTTGGCAGTGGAGCTGGCACAGGAGGCTGTTCCTCTGTCCCCTTGCCTTCCACCTGCTGTTGAATCTGGGAGTTACCATCCTGTTGCTACAATGGATAGCCCTGCCCTGGAGCCCTTCTTTCAGTGCATGACCTATCCCCAGGAGCAATGGGAGAAAAGAGATAAACCAGCTCTCTAAACCAGTGCAAAGGGATGACTGAGCAAGTGTTAAATATTGGAGCAGAGATTATCTATGTAGCTGAAGAGAGAATGGTAGCAAGACTTCAGACCCCTGGGGCCAGTGCAAGGCAGCCAAAGGCATGGGTGGGTGTCGAGTTTTGCGTGGGTCTTAGGTCTTCAAAGAGACAAGAGCAGTTGTTGGTTGTTGTGAAGTTGTTTATTGCGTGAATACATCAGTCTCAAAGGCAAAGGGTTCAGAGTATTAAAGTCCATGCTAAAAGCTTTCTGGCATAGAGTCCCGATGTTCTGAGCAGAAGCAGCAGCTTCTCCCCCACCTTTTTTCTTTTTTTTTTTTTTTCACCCCAATACAGGGGGATTTTATTCATAAATCACCCAGTCAGCTAAAAACACGATTCTAAAACATTCTTCTTACACCAAACTGAACTTAATTCCAATGTGCAAAAGTAGCGTCAGTTCTTGCCCAAAATCTACGTATATAGTTCTCTGTTCTATCTAGAAATGCAAGCTATGTTCTGCTATGTGTTTGTTATGTCTGGAACTAAGTTAATTTTGTAAAAGGGAGCACTACTGAGCTTTAAACTAGGCTTTAGAGCTTTTTGCTAGCTAACACACTCTTAAGGCACTTAAGATACATTTCTACTTACTTAAAACTGAAACTTACACTCCTGCTTCACTTCTGTGCAGCTTAATATATTTCAGTTTCTCTAAAGGCTCCAATTTAATCCCTGCATTCCTTTCTTTCTCTGAGGGACGCTGAGAAGCTTCTGTTTCATGCATTTCAACAGGTGGGTACATCCAAGCAGATGGGTTTAGCGGTGGGGACACAGCAGATGGGGGTGGCAGTCAGCATTAAGCTCAGTATAAATGCAGACTGAGCCACACTTCAGAGGTTATGGCAGTGTGTAGTGTTGCGTAGGGGCCTGCAGCACCTGATAACCACTCCAGTTTACTGTTCTCTGTCCCATATTTCACTGCCACCTTCCTCAACATCATTGTCTTTTATTCTACAGACAGTAGAGAGAAGTTTCTTCTGATGCAGAGGCTTATAAAAAATGTTAATGCACTCTTTGTCCAGTCTTGCACGATGGTTCTTTTGTTCTTTGGGTTTTCTGTTTTGATCACTTTTTTCAGCTTGCTTAATAAATTCTTGCACTGCTGTTCCTTATGTAATGATTTATTCTTTTCAGTAAGACCTGAAATCTCTCTTTCCCTGCAGTTTGCAAAACTGAGAAGCAGCAGACTGCTGGGCAGGAGTTGTATCAGCAGCTGGAAATAGAAGGAAAGAGGAAAAAATGTTTCCTTCTAGCCCTGGCTCTCACTTTATCTCTGCTTCCCCCTCTGTGAGCATAGAATGGAGTCAGCAGGCGATCAGAAAGTTTTCTCATGACTTACCTCTCTTGGCTCTGGCTTGTCCCAAATCCCTTCCTCTAGGCTCAAGATGCTGCCAGAGCACCGCAGGCAAGCAGAGTTCTAGGAGATGCACCATCAGAAAGGCAGCATTAACTAGCAACAAAGCAGGGTTGGACACCAGCAAGGTCACAAAGGGCCTGAGAGCAGCAGGAGCTACCGTGGCTGTACAGCCCTTTCTTAGGCTGAAATGATCTGACAAATGCTGTCTGTGGTAAAGCACTGATGGTGATGCTCAGTTAAGTGCACAAGGGTTAGGAATCGTTCCAGGTGCTGGCTCAGAGGCTGCAAAGAAGGCATTTTTACACCCCTCAGGCACCTTCAGCCAGCTGGAGCCTGTCTCCATCTCTAGAAGGTGGTACGTGTGTGGGGACTTTTCTTTGGAACCACTGTAACTTTTTAACTACTGCCCTCAAATATTCCTAAACTCAGCCTGGTTTGCAGCAGAGCAATGGGAGTAAAGAACTGCCAGCACCTCTTTTCAGAGCTTTAACTACTTGTACTCCCTCGGAGGGATTTGAGACTATAAACATTTTTTTACACATCTTGTTCTTTTTTTACAGTCCTTGCCAGTGCTGTGCAATACACCCCTTTCTCCCCGAGCTGAATAGAACACTGAAGCAAATCAAGCAGCCTGCCCCATCTTCCTCTCTGGCTACAGTTCCTCTTCTGGACTTTGGGATTTAGCATCCTTTGCCAAATGCAGTGGGTGAGGAAAACTACATGTTTAATGAAGGAAAATTGCATTTTTACTTGTTTAGAAAACTGTTGCTTCATGGTTAAGTGAAAACCATGAGAAGCCTGACTGCCACAAGTGTGATGGGTGCCTGGGTGGGAGCTTGAGCTGGTTTTGGAAACCCACCCAGAACCACCAATAAAAGTGCACTGTAACCAGCTGTCACTGCTGCACATCACCTTTTCTCTGAAGCAAATGAGAGGGTACATCTGCTTTTTCTGTGTTTATTGCATTACACTGAAGCAAACCAGCATGTGGTTATTTGCAGTTATTAGCTGATTATTTCACCAAGTCTAAGGAATACAAAGAAAAATAATTAAATATTTCAGGACCCAGTTAGCTCTGAAGGGAGGCTCAGGCTGTTTGACTGGACAGGATGAGTTCCATGTCAGGTTGAGCCCCGCCACCCGTGCTGCCCATGCAGCGAGACAGCAGTCTCCATCAGCTGGGTGCATTTTGAGTGCACAAGAGCCAGTGAACTCGACTCTTGCTTCATGTGGGAATGCAACCCAAGTAGTTTCCTGGGAGTAACACAGTGAAATCTACAGCCTGAAGATGTTCATCCCTGCCCAGAGGTGTCCAGTGGTGACCACACTCAATGTCATCATCCCTTGTGCTGGAAGCTGCTCTGAGAAACCAAGGTTGGGTGACTCTCCTGGTTCATGCAAGATGGGACTTTGCTCATGTCTCTCAGATGGTCATTCCCATACACCACTTCCCACTTGTTCAAACACAAAACAATACTCTTGCCTTTTAAATAATGACCAAGATTCTGGAGATGCTTCAAAATGGTCTCCTTCAGGTCATCCATGAGCATGGAGAGGTGGTAGGTAAGCCAAAGAGCTGCTGGTGCTGCTAGAAGGAGCAAGTCTTTCTTTTAGGAATAAAAATCTTAAAGTCACCATCTTAAAATGTAATCTTCAAAGATGGTGGCCAGAGGAACCCACCTGAAATGCTGAAACTGCGAAGCATATTGGGATTTGTTGGTTGACTTTGATGTATCTGTGGGTTTTGTTTAGCTGTAGAAACTCAGTTTGCTAAGAAAATTATTGACATTGATATCTATATTGTGTAAGCCTTTTTTCTTGCCTGTTTTTATTTTTAAATTTTAATTTTTCCAGCTGTAATTGTAAAATAATGTCACAGATAATCTAAACAAGGAGAAGAGAAGAAACAACCAGTGTGAACTTTCCTCCACATTAGAGGCATAAGAAATTACATATCTTTAGTTGGGATTCTTGGAGGGCAAAAAGGGGTATGAGAACAATTCACAGTGCATGACCTGCAGAGCTTGTAACAGGGCATGGAAAATGAGATGCATTATAGAATTCATAAAAAACTGCTGTTGGTGTTTTTAACTACCTAGTTGTATCTAGTTAATGTTGACTGCACCTGTCACTTAATGTTGGCTGTATAGGACTGATGTGCTTTGTACATCCACTGCAATCCTCCAGGCAGGAGACTGTCCCAAATATTTAGAGGCCATGATCAGCCCCTTGTTGGACACCGATGGAATATATGGCTTGGGGGGTAAGTTTTTCCCTCATCTTTCCTGCTCATTAGCTATCCAGAGTTCTTGCAGTCATTAGGTAGGTGAATAGGCCAACTCCTTTCCTGTGCAGCATTTATTGTTCTGTGTGCATCTTTACTCTGAAAAAGTATTTTCAGCCAGAAATCATCACTTACTTTTCCACTCATTGAAAATAGAGCCCAAATTTAAAAACTGCTTTTGAAATCACCTTCATTTGGAAATAATCTTTGCCAGAAAGTGCCTCTTTTTTGCTATGGAAGGCAGACAAAATGCAGTCTGCTAGTGACCTTAGGTGGATCTGGACAAGTAATTTGATCCTGTTTTTATTATTTCTTTCATGATGACAATGCTTGTTTGTTTAATGATGACACTGTTGCTCAATAACAGCTGGTTTAGTTGTTATAGAAAAGCTCAGCTCCTGTTACAAGATAAAAATACATCAGGGACTGAAGTCCAGGGTTGAAATGCTTTTCTGTATCTTGCTATTAAATGGCAGGTGTGGGGATCATACTGCACTGAGAAAACCCTCTACAGCTCATGGGCATCTGTGCAGCTCCCACCTGAGCACCACATCACCTGCCTGCACCACATCTGCTGCACAGCTGTTTTCCCCACCAGTGCCAGATGTCTCCTGCCATCTTCCACCATCAACCATCTCACCTTCTACCACCTCCATTCTCTGAGGCATATATATATGTATTCCTACATACAAAGCCTATGTTCCTCAGTTCTACCTGTCAAAAGGGAAACCATGTCCTCCTCACAATTACACTCTTTGGGAATAGGGCTGCTCACTCACCCTAAAGTTTTTGGGGTCAATCTTCAGCTGGGTGGCATGTTTCTTGCCGAGTGGGGTCACTATCCCAAGAAAAGCCTCAGAGTTGCCCAGGTGTTGCACCATGTCGTTGATGGCACTGAAAACCTTCTTGCCATGGCCCCTGACTTGATCTGACTGTTTCATCTCTTCAGCAGAGTCCATGCCTTTGAAATGTGTGAAGTAGGACTTGGTGTCTGGGTGCTCAGTAAACATCCTGTTGAGGAATGAGAGACATTCTGACTTGTGGACCAAGCTATCAATGAGACATGGCCACACATTCCAGCCTTGCCTTATGCATTTATGTCCCTTTTCCCCATCTCTTTATTAGAACAGACACTTCTGCATTCCTTGTTTCTCTGTTGCCTTTTGCACCTGTGCCTAACCGCCATGCACGTAGCAGCCAATCCTCTCTCCCTTGCCTCTCCCCAGGGTATTTCTTTTGCTCATTTGATGTTAAAACCTATAATGAACTTATGCCACTGCTTCTAAAGTTAATATTTTCTCAGTGTTAACGCTGTGTTACTTTCACAAAGAAGTGGGAGCAGGTTCACATGGGGTGACTGTGACTGTTCAATATTCCCAAATATTGGAGTGAAGAAACGCTCACTTGCGGTGAGAGACTTCTCCAGGGTCAAGCTGTTCAAGTATAAGCAATTTATTATAAGGGTAAAAGGAGTGGAGACCCGTGTCCGCCACCAGCCTCGGCGTCCACGTGCTCCGGGGGAGGGGAGAGAGAATAGGTAGAGCAGGGGAGGTGAGGTTGGAAGGGGGAGGGAGGGAGTAAGGGCAACAGAGGGAAAGAGGGAAAAACCAGAGGGAGAGAGCAGGGAAGACTAGAGAGGGGTAGGAGCAGGGAGAGGGGGCTGAGAGTTAAGAGTGGGGGAGAGGGGTAAAGGGGTAAGAGGTAAGGGAGAGGGGTTCAGAGGTAAGAGCGGGGGAGAGGGGAGCTGGGAGAGAGGGTAAGAGAGAAGAGGGAAGAGCTGAGAGTTAAGAGAGTGTAGTTCTTGTTACAATCCAATATATCTTTTTCTATAGTGAACAGTCTAATTCTTAGTAACCAATCACCGTGAGACACACCCACTAAAGAATTTACATACAACCTATGAGCTTCCCTATATTAACATACAGTGTTGCATTTTATACTCTACACAGCTTTACAAGTTCTTTCCTTGCTTCTTTACCTTTGGACTCTTCTTATCAGCAGAAGGACATTGTTTTATCAACAGGAATTCTCTTTTAGCTGGCTAGGCTATTGTTCTCTGGTTAACCAGTACTCAGTATCCTAGGACTGAAAGCAGGCTTTCATTTCTACTTTGATTCTAGCCTTCATATTTTCAGAATCTAGTGCCAAACAATCACATTCATAAGGTTTCCCTGTTTCACCCTCCCCAACACCAAAGATGCTCTGGACAGCAGATATGATCACTGTGATACCGGTGGATGTCTTCATAGAGAAACCCTACTATTGGTTTTGTTAATTAACCCCTTCCTATAGTCCACTGCAAAGCTTTCTTCCTGACTATGATGGATTGTTGCTTGAGTATAGGGTACTGCTCATGTAATTTATTCAAAAGTAACACAAGTCAGTGTGTTTGAAATTATCTTTGATCAATTACAGTCATCTTGGTCAAACTCTTAGAAAAAAGCAGTTTACTCTATTGGGTAAACTGCTTATCTATCTGAAATATCCAAATTCTACATTGCATTTCACAGAGTCACAAAATGGTTGGGTTTGAAGGAACCTCTGGAGGTCACCTGGGTCAATACCACTGGTCAAGCCAGTTGCCCAGGACCATGGCCAGATGGCTTTTGAGTATCTCCATGTGTGAAGACTCAACAACTTCTTTGGGTAACTTGTGCCAGTGCTCAGTTGCATTCAGAAGTAAAAGAAGTTTTTCCTGATGTTCAAGGGAACCTTTTTCTGTGTTTCAATTTGAAACACATTGACTCTGGTCCTATCTCGTGGCACCACTGAGACGAGCATGGCTCTGCCTTCTTTGCACTCTCCCTTCACGTTTTTAATGTACACATTGCTAAGATTCCTCTGAGCTTTCTCTTCTCCAGGCTGAACAGTCATAGCTTTCTCTGCCTTTATTGGAGAGATGCTGCAGTCCCCTCATCATCTTCCTGGTCCTTTGTTGGACTCTTTCCAGTATGGCCATGTCTCTCCTGTCCTGGGAAACCCTGAACTTCTCTACAGGCAGGTCTGGGGCTGTAGGACACCAAAGCAAAACCTTCTAGAGTAAATTACCCCAGGGAGACAAGCTACTGGATGCTACCAACATTTTATGGCTGCACTTTGGACCCTAACTGTGCTCAGGTTGTGTAGCCTGTAGAAGGAAAGAGCAGCATGTAAGGTGAGGGGCTCATGAGGGTAATCCAGGCACAAGGTGTGATATACAAAAAAGCTGGAGAGAGGGCTAAAGGTCTGATAACCAGAAATAGTATTTGAACTGATCCATGCTTATGGAGTGATGGAAGTCCCAGATGAGAGTGGAATATGTGAAAAGTGAACAGAAGATAGAGAAAGAGGATGAAAGCCAAGAGAGGAAAGGATATAATACAGTGAAACAGATGGACTGAGGCTGAAGAAGAATCAGAAGTGAAACACTGAATTTAAAAAGAGCATTAAAAGAGTTTCGAGGTAGAGGTAGATGGAAATAAGGCCCATATTTTGTTCCTGTTCTCTTTCATACCACACTTTCTTTCCTTTACCTTATGGGTGAAGATACTGTTCTTGTCTCTTCTTCTTTTCCCATCCCCTTACCCCTTTCTTTTCATTTTTCCTTGTGTGGATTGCTCCTCTTCCTAGCAAGGGCTGCATGAAAAACATCAAGACATGCTCCTAAGCAGTAACGCCATCCTTGCTGTTCCTCCTTCACCCCTGTGGGGCAGCAGCTGGATGGGCTCTTTCCTTACCTGACCAGCACAGCTGTCCCATTGTCCTCAGCATCCACATATATCTTCTCCCAGGCACCACGGGCACTTTGCACCTCTGCTTCAGAGAGCGACATGGTGGAGGAGATGTTGGCAATGGAGGCTGCAGCAGGAAGGAGAAGGACAGGGAGGTCCTGGCAGGGTCTTTCTGCTCCAGTTCTCCTCAGGGCTCTCTAAATACTGCCCTGGGGATTTAAGAGATCTTGAAGGGTCTCTTTGTCTCTGTTCCCCTCTGTCACATTTCTGCAGGTTTTAGAGCTACCTAATCACTTTTAATCAGGAAAGAAATTAACCACATGAGAAGGAGGACTAGCCCTGTAGTCGTAGGTCAGGTGCCAAAGCAAAGGTCTCACCGTCTGAGGAGAGAAGGGAAAAAAGGCTGTTTTCAGTGGGGAAAAAAAAAGATCAATTCTCTTCCCCTCTCACCTCTGCCAAAGCCAGTGCTTGGCTTCCCTTTCCCGAAGGTGATCCTTGCCCAAACACTAATTTTCCTGGTTTTCTCTCAAGAGTGCTGCTGTGCTGAGGGCACTGTGGTGCCTTGCCATCCCCTCTCCCTGGCATTCTTTGGTCCTTCAATCAAAGATCCTGTTTCTAGCTCCAGCAACTCTGTCCAGTCCTGCCTTCACACCACGGTCACTGCTTTCCCCGCAGCCCTGTGGTTTAACAGGGGCTCACCCCACAGCTGCTCCCAGCTTTGGTCCCATGAGGGTGGGAGGCTTTGCCAGCTGAAAATGACAGCATTGCAGGGATGGTGGTGGCGGCACAGCATCCCTGGCCACGGTGCCCTGCAAAGCCACTTCATTTTAGCACTGGAGATAAACGGTGCAGCACAGTCAGGCCAGGTCATTTCACTTTTCTAACCCTCTTGGCTTGCAGCTGCCATCTCTGTCCTATCTCTGAGCCCTGACTGCCTGGGAGAGAGATAAGGGGCCAAAGAAGGGCCGGGGTGGAGCTGCAGACAGCATCTCTGGACTTGTTATAGTCACAGTCACTTGGAACTGGAGGCAAAAAGTTTTTGTGCATTATCCATGCAATGCCTGGGCTTAACCTCTGGCAGGAATGTTCTGCTTAAGTCCAGGGCACACAGGCTAAATAAGGGCTAAGGGGCTTGAGAAACTGCAGCTGGATGCTGAGGGCAGACAAAACCTCATATTGTTTGGGATGGTTTAGAGGAGGGAAGGAACAGATGTGAGGGGAAAATATGCAGCATGTGTGTAAAAACACTCGCTCGCGGTGAGAGGCTTCTCCTGGGTCAAGCTGTTCAAATATAAGCAATTTATTATAAGGGTAAAAAGAGTGGAGACCCGTGTCCGCCACCAGCCTCGGCGTCCACGTGCTCCGGGGGAGGGGAGAGAGCCCGCAGGGCAGGAGAGGTGAGGTTGGAAAAGCGGAGGGGTAGGAGCAACAGAGGGAAAGAGGGAAAAACCAGAGGGAGAGAGCAGGGAAGACGAGAGGGGTAGAAGCAGGGAGAGGGGGCTGAGAGTTAAGAGTGGGGGAGAGGGGTAAAGGGGTAAGAGGTAAGGGAGAGGGGTTCAGAGGTAAGAGAGAAAATCTAAGAGCTAAGAGCTAAGAGAGCGAAGCTCTTGTTACAATCCAATATATCTTTTTCTATAGTGAACAGTCTAATTCTTAGTAACCAATCACCATGAGACACACCCACTAAAAAATTTACATACAACCTATGAGCTTCCCTATATTAACATACAGTGTTGCATTTTATACTCTACACAGCTTTACAAGTTCTTTCCTTGCTTCTTTACCTTTGGACTCTTCTTATCAGCAGAAGGACATTGTTTTATCAACAGGGATTCTCCTCTAGCTGGCTAGGCTATTGTTGTTTGGTTAACCAGTACTCAGTATCCTAGGACTGAAAGCAGGCTTTCATTTCTACTTTGATTCTAGCCTTCATATTTTCAGAATCTAGTGCCAAACAATCACATTCATAAGGTTTCCCTGTTTCACCCTCCCCAACACATGTGGAGAAAAAGCAGCCCGATACCCCAGGGCGGAAGCAAAGTGCTGGCTGCAAACTCACAGAGATAGATAGGTCTTGGTGGGGTTGTGTCCCACTGCTGCTGAGGGAGGCCTCAGATGACTTCACTAAATCTGTGCCCACTTGCCTCCCTCTCCCTTTTTACCACACAGCAAAGAAAGAGCAGTCTGATAGAAACCTGCAAAGCAGATGTGGGTATCCCATGCCTGGAAGAGTTCAAGGCCAGGCTGGATGGGGCTTTGAGCTACTTGGTCTAGTGGAAGGTGTCCCTGCCCATGGCAGAGGGGTTGGAACTAAATGATCTTTAAAGCCCCTTCCAATCCTAAACATTCTAGGATTCCCTAGGAGACTTCTCCTCTGCTCTCCCCCATGCTCCTCTGGGGCATTGCACTATGAACGTGCTCCATCCCTTGATATACAGACAGACATCCTGTCATTGGACAGAAAATACCTATTTTGAGTTGAGAAATTTCAATTGAATTAATTTATTGCCAAGGAACAAACCAACTAACCAACACTTCGATGCCTCACTTCTCCCTGTCCTGTTTCCCCACCCCATGCTGCAGGTAGACCCTTTGGTGAGACCATGGGGGGTGCACAAGCTGGGGTTGGTGTGTGGGTGTCCCTTGCTCTTGCTCTGCCTTGTGCTCAACTGCTCTTGCTGCAGTCCCCATCCTGTTGGATACTGTACCTGCCCGGACTTGTCTCCCCCCTTTTCAGTGTTCCCTGCCCTTTTTTAAACACATTTCCATGGAGGCACCCTAATCTTACTTGGTTGGTCCAGTTCTGGGGTGCAATTGGGTCAGTTTTGTCTAGGACCAAGCCAAGTGTCAGCAGCACAGTGCAATCCTTGACCAGAGAAAGCAATGATATCTTCCCTCAAGCATGTCACTACGCTCTCTCTGTGATATGCTTTTCTATTCTTCCATCCTCTGGTGTTACTTTTACTGTTTGGAAAATTATCTTCTATTTTCCCCTGGCATGATTTGTCAAGTCCTTTTATGATGAACACAATAATCCCACATAAAGTTTTGACATCTCTAATTTGTATCATATTAGAGACAGATTAGAGCGACAGACAGACTGACAGACAGATAGATAGAAAGACAGATAGATAGATAGATAGATAGATAGATAGATAGATAGATAGATAGATAGAGTGAGCTCATATCTAATATACCCCTCAGGGCTATACACATCTATGCTACATCTCAGCAATCTCTAGAAACTGAAACCAAAAAGCTCCAGAAACCTGTTTATTTTGGCCTGGAAATGCAAGAGCTATGAAAAATGAGCTGTTTAATGATGAAGTCATTACATCCCCACATGTGGGCAAGAGGATGAGTGCTTGGTTTATTTATTTTTCCTCTCCCATGGTTTGTTTTATTATGCCAAAGGAAGTGAATCCTCTCAATCATAATTTCTATTGTATGAAGAGACCTATTTTCTAATATGGGGAAAAGTTCCTCAGCATGTTAGGTTGTTATCCCTAAAGAAGGGAATCCTGGTGTGCAAAAGCCAATCAATTGAGTTGAGACATAATTTTATTACAAATCTGAAGAATAGGCTGAAGGCTAGGCCAAGCCTTTTCCAACCTTTTGGAAAACAAGCAGAATCCTTTTTACAAAAAAGTAACCAAAAAAGAATCAGGAGATTGGCCACTCACACTTGTGTAACAAAAATTTTAATGTGCATGTGCTGATCTCAGTCCAGTTCATTATCCTATCATTTCCACATACGAATTCCCCTGGGAATGTGTTCTTTAACATTATAATCATCTCAGGTAACTTGAAATTGTCTTTACATCCTGTCACCTGTTGCTAAGTTATTGTTAAACTTTATTTTGTTAAACTTCTGTTGCCATTTCTGCTTGAATCTATTTGAATCATTACTTGTCAAGGGCATAAGGATTTATAGCATTCTCTTCCTGGGGTTTCTTCATGGTTCCTTTACTCCAGCATCCCACTGTCATGGTTTCAAGGCTTAGAGTTACTGTGAACTTTTTGTGAATCTTTATTTTCCTCTGACATCAAGCAGGCAGGGTGAGGCCAGGGAGCCAGATGGTGCTGGGAAATCTGGAGCAGAAAGCACAGCCACGGTGTTTGGGCTGTGGCCAAGCTGTTCCCATCTCCATCCCAGCCAGGGGAGAGAGGATGTGCCTCCCACTTCGCTGCCAGGAAACGGTGTCACTACTGCTTTCTCTCAGTTTCCAAGAAATCACGTGCTTTAGGCAGAAGGCAGTCAGCAAGATCCAGCCACAGAAGTGGGTGGCACCTTCTACTCACCCAGCCATTTAGGATCCAGCAGCCATCACAGCCCTAGAGCTTATTGATGTCCTGGTTACAGGCACTGCAAATCACACTGCCTTCTCTTATCCTTGAAACTTGGGGATCTGTGATTTTTACCATAAACAACCCACACTATTTATTGTTCAGTGGGGTTAATCCCCAGCTCAGCAGATGCACCTGTTCAGCTCAGCAGATGCACCTGTTCCAGAGGATGGCTGCCAGGGGCTCAGCAGCTGTAACGTATTTTCCCACACCCCTGGTAGTGTCAGGCTGAGGGTAGAGCCCCCCATATTGACAGGTTTCAGGGGTGCTTAGCCCGAGACCCTGACACTCAGTGCTGCTTTCACAGAAAGGACAAACACCCACATCTGCCTATGCTCAGTGTCTGAGGTTATCAACAAAACCAGCTCATCAAAACCAGCAGAACAAGGAGCTGCACTCACGACTGTCAGTGGCGATGTTTGAATCCTAGAGCCCACCTAGCACATGGGAGGGAAAGGCTTTTCCCGCTGCCACTTTCCCAGACCCTACTTCTCTCTCCCATTCCAGAGCATTGGTGGGCTTGGGTGGAGCTGTATTGGGCTTTTATTGCATACATAACATTTTAAATGTGAAAGCAAAGGTAGTAACTTCAAAATCCTACTTTTACATATCATAGGACATAGCATATATGCAGATTAGTCCTCTGAATGCTGCTCTAGTGATTAACAACATTCAGTACCTGGCCAGCAGTGACTAATGCAATCATTCAACTAATAAGGATGACAGTGCTGAGCTTTCTTGCATGGTATACAGCTAACCAAGAATTTGCATTTGGTGGAGGCTGGTGTTCAGCAGAGAAAATTTACATCCTTAGTGGAGGGGAAGAAAGCCAACTCCACAAACCCCAGCCCACCCCTCACAACCCCTGAACAATCAGTGTGTTGTCAGCATCATTCTGGACCCAAACCACACACCAAGATAAGGGTCACTATGAAGAAAGTTAACTCCACCTCAGCCAGACCCAGCACACTGTAGGACTGCATCCTTTTCTTGGACAAATTTAGGCCCAGGAAGCCTACACTGTGCTGAACTTTTGCACAGATGATGCAAGCAGGAGGAGGTGATGTAGAAAATAATCATGCCCAAATCAGAGATGCAGAGAGCACCCAGAGCTGGACAGAGTCATCAGGCAGCAACATATGCACTATTCATATCTGTAAAGTTACAATCTGGCATTCATATCTGCCCAATTAATGAGATCAAACCACCCAATAATTTAATGGAAACAACAGAACCACAGGTTTTGGACACAAGCCCCTAGACTGGTTCATTCAGCTCTCTTGTCTGAGACCCTGGAGCTTTAATTACACAGAGTTTATATAAATGATATTCTGAAGAAAAGAGAAATCCACTGAATGTCACCCCCAGCAGAATTAAACCTGGACTTCAGATAAAGTGACCTGATGTCAGAGAAAGAGAAGATGTAGCTGCAAGAAGACACCAGGCTAAAATAAACAGCTATGGGCTGCTTTATGTGGAAGTTAGACCCCAGTCCAGAGGCTTTGCATCAAACACAGGTAGGTCACAGATGATTGTATTGGTGGTATGGACTATTGTGTACAGAGATGCAAGCTAAAAGGACATGAGATAAAGCAGCAGACAAACACGTTATCAGATAGAAGAGAAAATGAGGTGTTGGACTGAAAGGGTGGCGGGTGAGGAATGGAAGGAACCAGAGAATCAGACTTGTAGTTATCCTGTGTAAATAGAAAATTGTGTGATGGACTTATTGGTCCAATTGTCTCCTCTACTGTAGAAGTCATAGAATTGTTAGAATCATAATGGCTGGAAAGACATCTAAGATCTGTTCAATATGAGGAGTAATTATAAGATAAAAAATCCATTATAACTGTCTGACTTTCTTGGGAAGTAACATCAGTACATGTGGCTTCAAACTCAGTGAGCCCAAATTTAATCGCCACCTTCAGCTTGCGATCTCTCCCCAGCCTCGTGTCTGGCGATGGCACTACACAGAAGCCAAGCTGTTCCATCCCTTCCTCATCTACATACTGAGCATTCTGTTTTTTTGTACAGTAGAAAGCAAAGGCTACCTTTGTTTGATCTGGTTCTGCCGGATAGAAATCATAGTGGGCAACTTCCTGTATATTCACTGATTCCCCAATTTCCACCAGTTTTAAGAAGAGACCTGTGCAATAAATATAGTCACCAGTTTTTGAGACCCTCCGTTTACGGGCATCATGGATAGCATCATCAAATTTCTGACATATTTCTAAGCCATATGTCCTACAGCTGATTCTTGAGGTAATGATACGGGGATTAATTCCAAATAAAACAGCCCCTTTTGCAATGGCCACCTGGGCCTCCAGGGGACAAAGGATGTGATACTTGCTGCTAAAGGCCTGCCTCACTGCATCTCGCAGGATGATGCTGGATGCAAAGCCTCCCACAAGTAAAATGTACTGGACTTTGTCCATCTCAGGTTTGCAAAGAATTTCCCTCAAAGTACAAATGATATTGTTGATACTATAGTCAAACAAGCTTTTCATTTTCTCATATGTAATCTTGATTGTCCCATCACACCACACAGCTCCTGCTGCTTTTTCAAAGAACTGGGAGATGTCCTTCTTGGACTCTGCCACTTTGGTCAAGTTGTAGTAGCAATGCATGTAGACTGCCTCCCTTCTATCAGAGCATTTCTGTAGGCTGAAGTTGTATATCATACTTTGTAATTCAGTAGGGTGCTTCTTTACATATTCATCCCATACACCATCATTGAATATTTCCTTGAGGAAATTGATGAAGTTTTCATCCACTCTGTTGCCTCCCCATCCACCTCCAGCTGCCCTGTGTAGCTCCTTTAGGTAATGGTCTTCTTGGATCTCATGTACTGTGATGTCTACTGTGCCACCTACACACACACATTCACACAAAGAGACTCAAATTAATTGCACTGGTTGCTTTAAAGTACATTAGTTTCCACAGAATTCAATCATCTTCTGAACTCACAATTCACAGATGTGCTTTTCTGCTGCTTTTTTTTTCCTCATCCTCACTCTTCTCCTATTGCCTGTACTTCTCTAGATTTCTTCAATTTAAAAATTTAAACTTCAATTGAAAATTTAAACTTTCGTTTAAAAGCCTGGTCTCACAAGGCTCCTACAGTTATTTCTGATAAAAGCTGGAAGCTCTGACTTGCTCACTGAAGCCAATCTCCTGTCTGATTACATAGGTGGCTGGCTCCTGAGCAGTGGTGAGAAGACTCCCAAGAACTTGTGGTCCGCTTGATGCCTTTTTTCTATTTGTTCACAACCACCAGACTGCTCTTGGCAGAAAATTCACATCACACCAAAAAATCTCAGGAAACTAGAGAAATTATTGAGAAGTGCTTCATTAAATATTCTTAATGATTTACTCTCCAGTGCCTGCTAGCTCATCTCTTTGGTCACTTCACTGGGCACTAACTACAGTTGCTTCTGGAGAGGAGGCTGTGAGCTCAGGCTACACAGGAGCACGTGGTGCGTGCTGGTGGCTGATGCTGGGACATGGTGCCAGCTGATCTGGTGCGAGGGCAGGACCTCGTGTTGTGACCATCTGGCTGAAGAGCACTGCAGCGTCAGACACACTCCTGCTTTCCTCCTGTTTTTCTGCCTGCTTACAGGATCTCATTAGGTGAGAAATAAACATAAAAACCCATGATAGGCACACCAGTGGAGTCCAAGCTCTGGGAGCTTTGGCCATATTTTGAAATAGCCATGCACCACAGCCAGCAAAGATGGTACCTGCTAAACGGGGAAAATTTTACCTCCACAGTCAACGACAATGTACTGGATCCCAGGGGAGTCGTCAAACTTCCTCTTGTCGCTGCTGTCTGCCATAAACCCTTCCTGTGGAAGCTGCTTGCACCACAGTGATGCAGCTTCTGGCTCCAAGGCAATGATCAGGTTCTTAGAGAGCATGTCAGAGATAATTCCTGCCTAAAATCACAAGAGAGAAGAGTCAGTTCAAGGGTGTGAGATTTCCGCTGCATGAACACCACCTGCTAAGGAGACTGTTCTCACCCCAGCAGCTCGTGCAGGAGTGCTGGTTCTAGCACTGCTGATCTCTGTGGGGCTCATTTCTACATGGCAGTGGTGGGAGAGAGCAGAGCTGTTGTTACTGCCGTTTGGGGATATCCTCTCCCTCATCACCCTCAACAGGGAAGATTTCTCTGCCCAATGGACTGAAATTTGAAATGCAGGTTGTTTACATATTGAGGAGTTCCTTTGCCTCAATGGGCAAAGAAATCTCCAAAGGTTATTTGAGGAAATGGAGTAACCCCTGCTTTTACCTCTTTTGCTGCCAGACGCATGAACTGCTTGGCACCAGCACTCCATATGGCTGGGACAGTAAGGACCCAGGTGATCTCCTCTGGATCGTAGACAGTTTGGAAAGAGGCCTCCTTAATGGTATTCAAAGCATGGTTCTTCAGGTAGCGCAGGCTTTCGGAAAAGACTGTCAGAGCAGGAAGCGTCTTTCCATTGGTGGCTTTCAGCTGCATGCCAGCTGTGACACTCTACAAAAGAAAAGGCCCAGGGTCACATGAGACCTGTCCCCTTCACACCAAGCGCTGCACAACATAAGGCACCCAGACACCCTTGTCTCCAAACCTGAGTAAACTCCCAGCACTGGCTTTACTACTGTGGCTAAATGAGTCCAAATGGGACAGGTCAGCTACCAAACTGCTTACCCACTGTGCCTGTGATGCAGCAGGCAAAATGTCAATATGGTTGACAATTCCCCTGTTTCTCCTAGGCTGAATTTTGTAAAGACCCTGTAGATCCGGTGGATTCCTGAAGATACAGCAGGGAGTGATTCTGTAATGAAATTTTTCTTCACCATTTGCTCCTCAGATGCAGAGAAATAATTCTGATCTAAAACCTCTCTCCAGCCCCTGCTGAAAGCAAATGAGAACCAACTGCTCCAGAGGTGACATTGTGACAGACCACATCATTCCCAGCTGTCCTGGGGAGGAAAATCCTCAAAGAAGCCTCCCATCCACCAAAGAGAGGACCTGGTGCTTTTCCTGGGACTGGCCTTGTGCTCTGGTTTATTCTAGGCTTGAGAGGCCCTGGGGGACCCTGGAGCACAGACAGGAAGGCCCTAAGGCAGCCTGGTGTTTGGCTGAGCAAGCAAACACAGAAAAGCTGTGAACTGTTCTGATCCAGCACAGAGCCTTCAGAGAGAAATCTGATAGAAGCCACTGCAGGCTTCAAAGACACCCTTACATTAGCTGCAGAGTAACATTTCAAGGGAGGGAGAGCTAGGGGGAGCTGTGTAACACGGGATGAGATTTGAGATAATCCCAAGACTGCCCATCTCCTCTGAATTACAGGAAATTTCACTTGATCCCTGTTTCTTGTTGAGCACTAAGGTCAGGAGTCCCAAAGGGAGACCAGTTTCTCTGTCAAGCTCGGGAACAGCGCAGCTTTTTGTTAGGAACAGGTAGTTGCCTTCACCCAGGGTATGCAGTCAGGATGTTATTGTCTTTAGACAAATAAAAAATATCATAAAGGAAGGACCCGTGAAGCTTTCAGCAATTCAAAAAATAAATAATTTCTTCTTTCGTGCATCAAAATACTCTCTGACTGGTGTTCACTCATACTCATCAACCAGATTTACTCAGCCCTCTTCATGGATTCTCTAAGCCCCATCCCTCAAGAGCCCCAACCCCCATTAGTGGTAACTCTCCCACCTACCGTGTTGTACAGCTGCATCTTGAAGTTCTCGAAGAAGTACCAGCTGTCAGCTTGGCTGGAGGGCAGGCTCTTGTACCTCATCACAGCATCATAGCCAAAACATTTGAATTCCTGCTTCTGGTTGAACAAAATGCACGTAGGCGTCTTTGGGGTCTTGAGCCCATGCTCTATTCCCCAGCTAACCTGCCGGATTTGGTCTGTACCTGAAGCAAGAGAAAAACAGTACCCACTGTAGGATGTGCCAAAATCTATAGCAACAACAAAGACCGACTGGCTGGCCATGGCCACTGCAGTGCAGAGGAGAGCAGCTCTGGGAGCAGAGAAAGGGTGAACCGGGATGGGACCGGACTGAAACTGAAAGCACTGATATTGCACAGGGAAGGGCAACCTCCCCTGCTTTTATTGGCTAGAGAGAGATGTGACTCTAGACATACTGTAAACGGTAACTTTTCCTGTAAAGAGGCAGGGCTTCCTTCTTGTTTTTATTTAACAGCAAAGTGCCTTTGTTAGGGAACTTTCTTATCAGTAGCTTTCTGCACTCCCAGCAGCATCGACAGTCCTCAGAGCTGCCCACTCATTTCAGCAAACATTTTCGGCTTCTGCTGCTGCTGCTGCTGTAAAGGCATGAATACTCCAAATGTTTCTGACTCCGGCAACGGAAACATGTGGAATATAGGCAACGATTTTGGCTGCAAAAGAACAGAAATGTATGATACACCTGATATTTCTGGCTTCACTCAAGGAGCAATGTGGAGTACCTACAACATTTCTGGCTCCAGAGGAATAGAATCACAGCACGCACACAATGTTTCTGGCAACAGAGGAACAGAAGTATTGGAAGGTCAGCTTGAGGACACTGATTCCAGCAAGATGACTGCACAAAGCAGCAGGTAGGTTACACAGGGGGTGTCTCTGGGTAAACTTCTTTAATTTCCCTAGGTCTGAAAATTTCTAGAAAGCTTCCTGAAGGGTTGCATGAGTACTGAATTGCAAACATTTTCTGACTGTGAAATCTTCAGTAAGAGCTCTGTTTTCCACTTCCTAACCTTTCCAGCCATCACAGAGATGGCTACTGTCCCCAGATTCAGCTCAAGAACAACTCCAAAGTGTGAGGCAGATCTTAAAGTGGTGCTAGAGGAAGAGAAACTAGAAAGAACAGTATAAAGAGTGTGACAAGATCTGAGATTTCATGGCTCTGACTCTGAGCTCATCAATTTTGCAGGGAAAAGCAGACTAAAATGTAAATTTTTTACTGGACTGTTGAGTTTAAAGAAAAAGATGGTGTCTTCAGTGAAAGACTGAAACTGAAATTGTTTAACCGGAAAGGAACCAATCCAAGTAAACAAAACCAAAATGTACTTCAGTGGGAGGGAGTGATGCTGATCTGGAGGGGCAGCACAGTCCCTTGCAGCAGCAGTGCAGCCTTCTGTTGGCATAAAACAAAGGTAAAGCCTCATGCTGAGGCTTTCTCTGACATCTGGTTGCAGGGACAAGCTTGGTCTCTGTTCCACCTGGATCCAAGCTGCAGGAGCACTTTAATCTGGGACTGTCTCTGTACAGTTAATAGTTGACATTTGGGATCCTCATGAGGAAACAGGACACAGAGCAGTTGTACAAATAAAAAATTACCTTGAGAACACAGAGCTTTGTACTCCTCAATTAAAAAAACCCCACACTTGTAAATTGCAAAGTTGGTTTTAGCAGAACAGTTAAAGAACAGTTACCTGCATTTGCTGTTCCCCACTCTCTGCAGGTCTGGGTTGAGTTTGTTTTTCAGAAGCTGTCCTTGTATCTTGCCCACTTTATCCAGAACTAATGATTAGTCAAACTCTCCTGGTTCTGGCATGCCCTGGCCTGTGGAGTCCTGTGAGCTGTATCAGGCATTATCTGGGAGAGTGCTAACTCACTTGTGCCAAGCCTGCGCCCCTGCGCACCCTTTGTCCTCTCTCTGATCTGCTTGCGGGCAGGATGTAGCCATGAAGGCCCTGCACACAGGACTGGCTATTATAAAGTGCTTCTTTTGAGGATGTGTTCTTACCACCCTTCATTATAAGAGTTCCCTTTTCTTTTTTCCCTCAGACATACATCTGACACCTCACAGAAGCCATCAGCCTATGGAGACCAGACTTCCAACATGAAGGAAATGCCTGAAATAATGGACGAGTTCATCAATAAATACAAAAAGGAAATGTTGCAAATGATGGAAGAGGTGAACAATAAACAAAAAGAAGAAATATTTGAAATGATGAAAGAAATGGACAAGAAGAACACAAAGGAAAGAGATGAATTTCTGCAAGCAATGGACAACAAAATAATGTGAGAGTCCAGTGACCAGAAATGACACTGTTTAGTGTGGCCTTTGACAGTGAACTGCAGCTGGTGCACACTAGGGTGGCTGGGACAGAAAATTACACATCAGCCAGACACAGGGAGGGCTCTGCATTAGCAACAAATTTTGCCCAGGCTGTACTGGGAAGACAGGGCCACTTTACAGAAGCTGTTGGATTTGCACCATGTAACGTGCAGATCTTATACTTTGGGAGTATTTTATTTGTACTGTTGGTATTGACTCACAGAATCACAAACCACCCCTCTGGCAAAGAACAGCCTTGACAAGTTTTGGTCTCTATATTTCTTTTCCCCATGGGCTGATCATAAATTGGAGGGAGGAAGTTTAGCTTGTGCATTTTTTAAAGACTTTATTGCATACTTGCCCACTGATTGCATTGTGGTTTATTATTTCTTTCTTTCTTCCCCTTATAGATGGATGCGCGATGAGAACAGAAATGCCTTTGAAACTATTTATAGTCACCTTCTGAATAGTCACAACAGGTGGTGTGATTCTTTATATTAATAATCATTGTGAGAGGGGGAAATCATGATGATCCTCACAACCATACCTCTGTTTCTTCTGTTGTAGATAACTTCCCACTTGATTTGAGCATAAATTCTGGGTGGGAGCTTTTATGGGAGGTGTTCAGTTCCCGTGGAGTTTTTCCTGGATGCTCTTGCACTTTCCCACCTCAGAGTTTTTTCCTTGAATTCAGATTATTCAATGGAGGCACTGTTGTGCCAGTGTCCAAGTGCAAATAAAGAGATCTCACAAATCTGTTTCAGAGCACTTCCTGGAAGGGCAATCCAAATACAGCCTGAGGAGAAAGAGGAAAATAAGATGCTGAAAGAGAAGATCAAAAAGCTAGAGGCAAGGTAAAGTATTTATTCATATTTCAGACGTAGTGTGTGTTTCTACACTGAAAAGCCACATACTTCTTGCTTCCTCCAGTCCCTGGGGACTCTGCTTCTGACCAGACAGCCTAGACACCTGCTCTCCAGACTTTCAACCTGCCAGCATCTCTTTGTAGCTGACTTCTGGAAGATGGCTTGGGTTGTTCTGCAAAGGGAAGAAGACATTCTCAGGGTAACCAGTTAAATAAAGAGTAAAAGCAACCAGTCTACAATGACATCATCAACATGCCACTCTGGTCAGATTCTACTGTGATCATGCAAAACTGAGCTGAGAAAGCACTATTTTCCACAGAAAAGCTGCTTTCCAGCTATATAATATAAATGAGAAGTGCATTGTAGAAAACATGGGATTCATGAAACAGTTTCATAAGTAAAATATTTACATTCACTCATTATTTCATCTTGACTTGGATACATTTTTTAATATCCTTCTTGACCTAGAATCCAAGAGCTCTTGGCTAAAGCAATAGTCATGCACCAACACTCTGAGGACATCAATGACCCTTCACGTTTGTCTGCTGTGCTGGATAGATATGAGCTGCTCAGGCTACGGGAATGGGAAAAAGTCAAGAGCTCCATGCCCCACCGTTGGACATATAAAGAAGGCAGCCGTGCCATTAAGGTTTGTTCACATCCGTTTTCTCCATCTGATTCTTATCAGATCAATATGATGTAGCCATATAGCAGCCTTTGAGCATTTGTATTTTTGTATCAGACAGGGCTGGGGCCTAAGTTTAGGTCTCTGATTTTCCAGCCCATCTAGGCCTGTGGAATGCTGTAGGGATCAAAGTGACAGTGACCTTCTTCCTCCTGCCTTTCAGAAGGGCACACACACTCAAATACCAGTCCCATCTCTTACACCTGTTAAGCACAAGTGGGAAAACAATATGCTTTGCTTATGTTAGTGCTTGAACTGATAGTTGGGAGTCCTCATTTTGATGTCTTACTCACTGCTGTGATGCTGGAGAGATCTGAAAGAAAATACCAAAGTGGTATTACCTTAAAGGACGAGTCTGAGATGAGGCCATTATTAGCATTGATTGTGATGGTAAGGCCCCACAGATGCTGAAGGATGGGCTCCAAAATGCAAGCAGCTGGATGAAACAGTTTGTTTCCCAGCTATTAAAGACATATTTTAATCAGCAGCCCTACAATTTACTCTAAAGCAGATGTTTTCTCAGCACATGCTTTGCACACTGCACTTCTGTTTTCACTGTGATTGATGTTGTAATCAGTTGTTGTTTTTGCACTGCAGAAGCTGTTTGATGCCTGTGAGAAAGACATACAACAGAGAACAGATGCCATAATTAAAGGTTTTGACATTCCACTTGGGAATAATACTTTGACCAAGGTATTTTATGTTTCTGTGTAAAAGAGCCATCAGCATCTACCATTCATTTAGAGGTTTGCTTCTACTAAGGGCACTGCTCAAAATCTGTCAGCAATGACACTGGATAACTTCTGAGCTGAGAGGGCTGGGAGTGTAGAAAGCCAAGCTCTAGCAACCCTAGGTATGAGAGCAGCACTGGACAAAAACCAGGTCTTTCTAAGAGTTAAGCTATTCCACAAAGAAGCAGGGAGCTGGACTTGAGGATCCTTGTGGGAGCCTTCCAAAATTAAATGGTTCTGTATCCCATGATACACAGCCACACGCTGCATATCTGAATTGTCCAGCTGGATGAGACACACACGAGTGCAGAAAGCATTTTCAAGCCCTGTGTTGCTTTTATGGGACCTTCCTCCAAAGCCTGAAATGAGTGACTTCTCTGTTACTGATTGACCCAATATGAGAAATAAAACTTCCCAGTGCTTGCCTTACCACATGATAACAGTCTGCTTTGTGCTCTGATTGTTCTGTAGGTGATGATGCAAGACATAATGAAGCTGCTCAGGCAACATTATCGCGAAAATTCAGCACTTTACAAGATTGTTCAAGTGAGTAAAGATACAGCCCAGGAAATGGGGCAATGGTTCAATTGTCTGTGCAGCTTGTTGTTTAAAAAATGAGAGGTCTCCCTTCTGCTTGAGGCTGTTTTCCACTTGTGGCCAGGTCCTTCCAGCCCATATACTCCCAAAATATTTTCAAGTACATGTAACCTTGTAAGGGAAGTACAACAGGGCAGGCAGGGTTGTGCCCCTACAAACAAAGGCACAGCCCTACTGGACCCAAGCAAGGAGCAAAGAGCAAAGGGCCAGTGGTGGTGGTCAGGGTCAGCCACAAACCAGTGACCACTGGGCAAGGTCCCAGTGACCAGCCAGGTCAAGACCAAGCTGAAGCTGGTCTGTGGGTCAGGACCAGCAAGGCTGGGCACAGGCATCCCACCACCACAGCTCAGTCAAGCACCTAGCCACCACTCAGCTGCTGGGTCAATTGGTGGGTGAAGATGAGGCTTCTCATAACTTCTTCTCACACCACCCTTTCTGCCAGCATGGCTGCAGTTGCAGGAGTTGAATACAAGGTCATATGCTCGTGCTTAATCTGAGCCGACCTTGAACACAAGCAGCCAAACCCCTGGGAAGGAAGAAGAAAGCATACAGAGGCGGTTGATGTGCACAGAGTCCTGACACCTGCTATCCACATGGACTAGTCTCTAGTGGGCTTTTTTTGTGAAGATATGACATATCTATAGCACAGATATATGAAACTTCCAAAGAGGAGCTTCCTCCTTTTGCAGCTTGCTGGGCTTTTCCAAGAGCTTCATCTTACCAAACTCCTTGCAGATCTCTCTAGGAGGAAATAGAGAAAGGTGCTGGACACTTGGCACAATCCAGAAGTCAGGACTTAGTAAATAAAAGAACCTTTAAAGTGACACTGGGACCCCTGCATGTCCCACTCAAACAGTACCGACAGCTTTGACAAGTGAAATTCTTGAGTGCTCAGTTCCTGTGGAGCAGCTGCACTGAATGAGAGCAGGGAGGTGGCATAACAACACATCAACATAACATTACAAAGCTTTGAAAGCTGTTCTCATTTGATTTTCAGGAAGCTGCCATTCACATAGGAAGTGGAAATGAAACACAGTTCTTGCTGCAGTGCTGCCAAATTTATTGTTTGCTGTTTCTTCAGGACCCACCAGTTAAAGCAGACTGGAAGATGGACATACAGTATTTAGAGCACGTGGACAAGAAAGATGCTGCGTATTGGAAAAAACCATCACTTCTGTGGCCCATAATGAAATGTGGGGAACAAATTCTTGTGAGAGGTGTAGTCTGGGATTAAGGGAGAATGACTTGACAGTCAGGCTAATTACTTGCTTTGACATAAGAAGATGAAACTTTTGCTGTGCAATACTCAGCTTTTCTTTCTCTCATGAATTGCTTGCTTTTCAGAGCTAGTAAGTTAGACATCCCCCATATGGGACACTTAGGATAAATCATCATTAACAAACCTGTATTAAAAATTGAAGCTATTCCAATTGTCTCCTCACCACTCCTCACCAGTGCCACCTGCCTGTTACCACTCAGCTGCTTTCCCACATCTGTGCAATTTACCTCTCCCAAAGTCCTTCAGCTACATGTGTGCCACAGCTCTGGGCCAAAGAGCTCTAAAAGTTGTATTCCATGGCATAAGACGGATGCAGTGAGGCAAGTGCATGTTTATGTGATTTTGTGTGACACGGTATTCTGTAAGCAACTTGAGAATGACCAAATAAAAAGAGATTTTAAATTCTACTGTGTGCCTGCCAAGTCCTTTTCTCCAGTTTTTCTTTCTAGTCCTTCAGTTTCCTTGGCTGCCCAAACTCCCTGTGATTTTCTCAATGTGCCTCCAGAAAGAAAGGCAGATTTCTGTGCAGCTCTCTGCAAGCAGATTGCTTTGCTTCTCTCAGGAATTCAGTATTCCCTAAGCATATTGCAGGTCACAGACAACATGAGCTGGGATCCAGGTGTGTGCAAGAAAATTGGCTTTTAGAAAACCAGACTATTCTGGGAAACTGACTGTAAAAGACCTTTATTAGAAATATACATTATGGAATAGAACACGTGAAGTAAAAGTTACATATGTACCGTATTTCCTACAACTTTCACAAAAAGAAAGAACTACTTTCTCTTTTTTCATATCTTTTTTAATGTTGCAGATTCAGATGAGCATTGCATTAATATTTCATTTTTCCAGGCTGTAGAAGATAAATGACAGAGGTGTTGTCCAGTACATGTAAGCAGAAGTTTCAGCATGACCCTGAGCCAAATGCCATGTGATTATGCAGGTATAATACTACACATATGGCAAACTGCCATGCTCTATTTGTTACCTGCTTAGAAAAATTTTAGTCTAAGTTTATTTTGTAGGTCCCTGGGTCTGCTGGTCCTATGCTGTGCATCAGTTTTATCTCTGAAGCTCATCACTTCTGCATCTCCTCATGTGTGTCCTTTCCTTTATTTTTTCTCCCCTTAGTATCATTTTTGCTAGGCTAAAATACTCATGTTGCAAGACCTTATATTTCAAACACTGATTTTAAAGTCTTCAGAAAACTAAAAGACCTAGGGTGCAGTAGTCCTGAAACAGTGAACAAACTGCTATAATCAGAGGATTTTTAACCTCTCACTACAAACCAGATACTTTCTCCATTAGCAACAAAGATCCACTGACTGCCACTGTGCAGTGTCTCTGTGCATCAAATTCCCCTCCTGCCAGACTCTCGCATCTCCTGGTGCAAAGGACAGCATCTTGCCCATGGTCCAACACAACTTCTTTTCCCAGTTCTTGATGTTTGAGGTTGAGGCAATATTTTAAAGCAGATACTGTATCACATACCATCCCAAGGCTAATATGATGTCCAGATGCCCTTTGCATAATTTCCTAAGAAATATTTTAACAGGAAATTGGTGTGAGATGGGGAAATGGTCTCTTCTCCTCCAGCTCCTTCAGACTTCCCTGTCGTGGGGTCTCAGCAGATGGAGGAGCCACGCTCAAGGAATCTGCCTCTGGAAAAGCAAGAGCAGGCCTGAAAGTTTTGCAGCACACTGGGACAAGGAGCCCTTTGTAGAGACCCCTACACAGGGAGATCTCTGCTGCTGCTTACACCCTTCCCCCTCTCCCAGCCACAAAGAGGGAAGCAAAGGCCCAGGCCCTTCCTGGAAGAAATATTTGTCTTCTCATCCACAGCTCAGAGAAGGAACCATGAAGAACCTGTGAAAATTGAGCTACAGCTTGTGTCTAAGAGGAAGAGCAAAACAATCAGAAACCCAGAAAGAGGTAGATCCTGAGTTTAAACCCTTCCTTTCCCACAACAGCATGACTCATGCCCCCTAATCAGCCTCCCACAAAGATTTAACATGGGAAGGTGGGAGCCTGTAGAGGGAAGGGAGCTTCACTAAAGGAATGTTTGAGTAGGCCTGGAATTCTTTGCCTGGACTGAAGAGGAATTCAGGGATCACAGGTGGAAGAGAGGACGGATGGCAGCTACACAGGCACTCTCCAGCTTCAGTTTGTTGTGAATTCATGTTGTAAATATTGGCTTTTCACAATTATTCTGATAAATATATTATATGCTTTCACTATATTCTTTTCTCTCTTAGCAAGTTACAGGCTTAGATAGGAATTCTGAATGGTAAGGATATGTCTCATCTGGAGAAGGCAAGATAACTCCAACAGGCAAGACAATGGGAGGATCAAGCTGTGGAAAACAGGCTATTATCAGCAGCAGAAAATGGAGAGCAAACTGTTACCAAAAAGCCGGTACCAGGACGTTGGCAAGGGGGAAAGATATGAAGCCCATCTGCTCTCTGAGGAAGGATAAGGGGCCTGGACCCTTATCAACAAGTGACCATCTGCAGCAGAAAGGAAACCAAAAACTCCGAAATAATGCTGACCAGCTAGACCAGCAAAAATATGTTGACCAACAGAAAATAAAATTAAAAAAAAACATGATCCAAGAAGGTGGAACCAGGGAGGGGATATGCTTGAATATGCATTAACCTCTCGCAGCAAGGATGGAATAAAAAGGACACTCCTGAAATACCAGGTGTGCTCTTGGCAGCGCACCAAGGCACCCGGCCGTATCTCTTTGCTTTACTTTATGTCTCTTATTGTCTTTATTAAACATTTTTAAAATTTTACAGGAGTGAACTTCGTTTTTCACAAGTTGCAAGAACTAGGCTGATGGAAGCAAAATGAACAGCAGGATGTGGCTCACCATGAAGCAGAGAGTGGAGGTACTGCCTGAAGATACCGTGGCTGCACAAATAGCACTAAGGTTGGTGGGGTGTCTGTAAGTGACCTCCACAGGGGTCCCTGCAGGTTGGAAACAGAATACTGGCTAGGTGGCCCTCTAGTCTGGAACCACTTAGGCTGCTCTTAAAAGTCAAATGAATTTGCTCAAATGTTGCCTGTTGGTTTTGCAACAGCAAAACAAATGTCACACATTACCCACCCCATCGCCTCAGTTTGATCAAGCTCAGCAGCTGCAGAAAGGCCGCACAAAAAGGGCTGTATTTTGTGTACCTTCATTTATACACCTCAGACATGTGCCACCCTGGAGCTGGAGCAAGCACCAGTGCACAACCAAGCATGAACCTGGCATCACCGCTGGTATGACTTCAGGCTCACAAAGGCTTCTTGAGAGGAAATCAGTGCTGTGGGAGACTGAGCCTGTGTGGCTGTGAGAAGCCACCTCAGCTGCACAAGTCTCCTCTGCGTTCCTCGCCCTGCCTGGCAGCTCCCAAGCTGTGGAAAGCCAGGAGCTTTCCCTTGCATCTCACATGGAATGTGCTTGGGCCGCCAGCTCCACAGCAGCACGATGGGTGCTGCAGCTCGCGCGGCAATGCCTCAGGGCTACTGCAGGTCAGGATGCCGTGCTGGGGACACGGCAGAAGGGGAACAGCGGGGGTGCAAAGGGGTCACAAACGGACCTCGTCACAGAGCTGCGGGAGGGAGCAGAACTGCATTTTGGAGGAACTGTGGCTGTGATATGCTGCCAAAAAGTTTTTTTTGAGGGAGGCCCAACAGCACCGCAGCCCGCAGTGAGGCCCAGAGCCACAGCCGTGCAGGTCATGCTGCTGCTCGAGCTGCACAAGGCACCATTTCCCTTTCATTCTTAGCTTGATTTTAAACGCTGTAATTGCTCCCTCAGAAGAACAGAAAAGGAATTGCTTCCTGCAGACACGTGAAGCATTATCTTAGGCAGGTTTGGTGATTTATTTCTAAGCGTCGTGAAGACCCTTACGGCCACTCAGAAACACAGGCCGAAATATTCCCGGCCTTTGGA